AAGTTTGACTATATTTATTTTAAATATCAGCTGTTTAACAAAAAACGAAAGAAAAATGCTTTGAAAATAAAACATTAAAATAAAATTTATTTATTTATTTTTATTTTGTTTCTTGTTTGTTTGTCTTTATTGAAGAATATAGGGTCCTTTCAATATTGAAAAACTGTTTGCAAATATCCTCTTACGTATTTCTTCTGTGTTCCTTCTCTTTTAATATACTAACACTAGCTCAGCAATCATACTCTTATTCTGGTATAAGAAAATCTAGCAACCAGTTGCTTAACTCTCCTGGAACATTTAAAACCACATGTGGCATCATCTGTTATATTTTATTTAAAAATCTTTTTATATTTTTATTATAAAATGGCAAAATGCTTAATTTTAAGGGTAGAGATGCATTTTATAAAAAACTGTAAATGCTAATAAGTAAAATTGCCATTAAGTCTGACCCTACTAGACATATGACATTATGATCACCTTTATCCTCTCATCCCCTCAACCTTTAACCACCAAAATTTAATAGAATCAATCCCCCTAATACACAAACCTCCCTGCAAAATTTTAGAAATTTTTGACATAAAGCACAGAAGTTATTAAGCTTTACAGAGGGAGAACAAAATCGTGCCACACATACACATACTAACATCTATACATTCAGAATAAACCCCTGAAATTTTTTGCAATTCTCAATGTTTCAAGGATCCCCGAGTCAAAAAATGTAAAAATCTTGGGGGTCATTTTTTGACTGATTGCTACACTTTCCCCCTGTTACATATAACAGTGCAGGGAAAGTAAAAAATAAATGCCAATTTTTACCTGAATTGAAATTCAAATGTACAATGATCGTTATTTGCCATCATACAAGTGGAAACAAATGCGAAGACAAAGAATATGGTTATCCCGCCAAATAGCTAAAGCACACCTTTAATCTTTAAAAAAATATAACAAATATACATAAAAGATATTAGTCTACTTTTATTAACCACTTTATCAGCAATTTTGTATGCAATAGAAACTGTCATGTTCAAGGTAGCATTCTATCATCAAAGTAACTGAGATGACTAATCACTCACTACATTGAATTTAAACAACTTAAAGCTTTTTTGAATCAAAACCACTCTCACATAGAACAATATACATAAAATTAAATGCTAAACTAAGAAGAATTTCAATAGTTTGGTGTTACATACACGTAGTATAACTAAAAAGTAAAAAATAAAAAATATGTAAAAAAACATTTTAAAATAACACTTTTTTTTTTTAAATTTCTACAGCTTTCACAGTATTTTTGGTATTATGTGATCAAAAATACTGTGAAAGCTGTAGAAAATGTTTAAAAAAGTGTTACTTTAAAATGTTTTTTTTAAATATATTTTTTATTGTTTCCATACAATATGGCATATATAATTGAAATGCATCTATTCTATAATTTTATAATTAAAAAAATATTTCTTAGAATACTTTCAAATTATATAAATTTAGCATAAATAGATTATAAAAAAAAGAATTAGTTTAAAAAATCAATATAAAATGAAACATAGGAACATATTTTTGATGTTACATCTTGTCGTATTACGAAAATTATCAAAAAAATAAGAAAAATAAAAAAATTGAAATTTCATAAATGGTAGCAGTATAAAATTAATCATTAGGAAGATGTTTGATAAAATTTGTTTAATTGCAAAACTGTGAATTGCATTGATATGATATAATATGAAACATTTATAGATGATATAAGTGAGCAACATCTTGATATAAATACAAATTCCTCATTATTAAAACTTTTGACAACATCTAGAGCAGTGTAAACAATACACTGCTCCAACAACCAAGTATACTGAGTTTGCAAAATACGTAGAATGTTAGATGGGTGTATGAACAAATTAAACAATTGTTTATTTGTGTAACAATCTGTTCACATTCCTTGCATTATCTTTATCAGCAGATTCCCGAGAGTAAGACAGAATGAGTGATTATCAAGAAATATAAAGCAGAAAATAAAGATTATTACCCCAGGAATATCTTGAGTTAACAAATCATCATCATCATCTTCACTCCAATCACTAAATTCTGGATCAGGAATTTTAGCTGTTTCTACAAAATATTTGGGAATTAATAAGAATTTTACATAATTATAAGTAAAAATTTTAATTATTCTAACCAGTTTCCTTCTGAACTTTCTTCTCTATATTTTCAACTTTTACTGGATTATCAATAACTTTTGTTGATACTTGTGTAATTTCTTCTACTGGTGATGCCATTACCTTTCTATTTGTGATTGATGGCGAAGAAGAATCTTTTTTTAAATCTGCTATATAAAAATTTAAATATGGTATAAAATTTTAATATTTTATAGAAAAAATGTGTTCTTTAACATATAATACAATTTAAATATAATTCATTAAAAATGGCAATATAATAGATCAATGTTTTTAATGATTAATTCATTGTTAAAAAAAAAAAAAAAAAACATTCATTGCCAATTGGCACCAAATGTGTAAATGGAAAATCCACCAATTGCAAACAAATTATGTCAAATTGGCCTTGTAAATGTAAATAAGCTGGCTAGCATCTCAGGTATAATATGTTTTTCTTCAAATGCACAATCCTAGCATAGAAAATTTTGAATGAAAACTGAAAATTTGGATTATTTCTCACAATGAAGTGTTATATAAATGACACAAGGCTTTCTTTACATCTGTTTAATTCTCTTTTTTCATTTGCCGAGACATATTTTGAAAAAAAAAAAAAAAAAAAAAAAATTAAACAGATGTAAAGAAAGCCTTGTGTCATTTATATTATACTTTATTGTGAGAAATAATTCAATAAGAAGATTGACATGGTTTCATATAAAGAACTTGTAAATGATTAAAATTGTGATATAACATTTGTTTAGAATTATGTTAATCATTAAATTTATCTAAAAACAAAATGCAAATTAAAAATATTGTTTCATGTACTTTTTTAATAATTTTATAGAAAAATATTTTCTATAAAATTATTACACATTAGACTTATTAAATTATACTTCATTAAAAATTTTATATCATATATTATTTAATCAATACAATATAATAGTTTTTAGCTTATTTTAACTCAGCACATGGTGGTCAGATTTTACTTTTTAGAAATGTGTATGTCTGTATTCAGAATTTTTTAACAATATGACATGTATTCAGTATAGTGGCTTTCTGTAGTATGATGTATGTGTTTCTATTCAATTGTAATGGGCCCAGGCTTTTGTGTAGTGTGTGAATGTCTGAGAGTGTAGAAATTAAATGGATGTAGTGTGGTAGTGAGTGTTTACATAATTTAGTGTTTTCCCTACTACCTTTGACATGTTGATTTTCAATATTTGTGGTCTTTGTGTGGGATCTGTACCTGTATATTTAGTGAGTGTTTCCTGAAATATAAGTGAGAGTGTATTAACTAATTCTATGTCTACATTGTCAGTGACGGATGAGAAAATGTCTGTAGTATCATTAGTGGTAGTTCCTGTATGTGTGCTATTATCAATGCTTGTTGCTGGATTATCCTGACAGGTTATGTAATCTTCATTAATGTTAAATGTTTCTGTCTGTTTGATCAACAACTCTTTGTTTGGTGAGTGAGGTGAGGATATTGTGTGAATCTATCTATGGTGTGGTTACTATCTGTATGCTGTCATGTTTGTTTCAAGTTTTGTGATGGTGTAGTAAGTATGGATGATAAACTTGTTCATTTCTATTGTCCATTTCATCCGTTGCCATGGTTTTACAGCCTTTGTGGTCTGTGGATGCATTGCCACAGAAACACCAAGGCTAGGTTGGTTCCTCACATCTGTTAAGGACATTGCAATAGCCATGCCTGTGCTGCTTTCATCACCTTGACTGTGGCCTATTTTTTGAACGTGAGCCTCTGCCTACCCATAAACACGGACCTTGTTAACCCAGGCAAAGTCCGAGCTGGTAACATACTTAGATCTGGTTACTACCATGATATATATCTCCACAGAATGTGGGTGTGGTCACTCTTAGCTTCATTTCTCCCCATAGACCTTACTGGCATGAGTGTCCCTACCAGGAGCTTGTGCTCCAGTCTGCATTGCTTTATGGATCAGTACAATTACTGGGCTCTCCCACCACAACCAGGTGGTGATCATGGGAGAGTTATTATTTTTATTAATTTTATTTAAAGCAAAGGCTCTAAACCTTTTTTACTTTTCCTCTTAATTTTTTTGTGGACCCCCATAGACATTGCACAGGGAAAAAACCTTATATTCTTTCACTAATAAAACAAGAAAACAAACATTCAGAAATGTCACTGTCAACCGACATGACGCTGATGGTATAAGATTCTCCTAACAAACCCCAGCTTTATAATCTCTCACCATCTCATGAAGACATAGTTACAATTTATAATCTCTCTTTAATCTTTGTCAATGAGATATATATGTCGTATACATATTCAATTAAATAAGTTATATTTTACCCTTATGCAAGAAATGAGTAATAAAGAAATTGACAATATATATACTGTAAAATTTAATTCTCAGTAAAACAATTGTTTTGAAGTAGAATTATCCTATAGACCAGTGATTATCAACCACTGTGCCATGGCACTTTAGTGTGCCACGAGGTTTTTGAAGTGTGCCGCCACTGCGAATATCCACACATAAGCGACACCAGACAAGTAGTTTAATCAGTTCTATCTTTCTGGAAATTGTAACCGGTGTTACCAGTAACTGCCGTTAGTTACCAAGGCATTTAGAAAATGTGAAATAACCAACTGCGTTTAAAAATCACTGTTATGAAGTCACCTGTTGTCCTCCAGTACTTACTGAAGTAACCGTACGTGCCGCCAAATTTTTTAATTATTAAAAGTGTACCATGACAAAAAAAAGGTTGAGAATCACTGCTATAGACCACTAAAATATCACCATAAACCCTCAATTTGGTATTTTTTCTTTGGACCCCCCGTAATGTTACATGGACTCCAGTTGAGAACCACTGATTTAAAGAATGAATATCAAACATTTTGTTTACAACATTCACCTTCCTTTTTCTTTTTATTTATGTTTTCTTCTATGGTTTTTGTTCTCTTTTCTCGATCAACAGGGGATGATGATTGCTGTCTCTTCCTACTTTGTGAATTTTTATCAAGCTTTTCATTATTAGTAACTGTTGTGGTTGTTCGGGAACGATCTCTGCTCTGTCTTCTATTTACTTTACTTCTCTGTCTTTCCTAATAATAAAAAAAAAATAAATAAAAAGTTATTTATTTACAAAATGCCTAATACAAAGCATTCTCCATATAATATTAATAACATGCAATTTTATTTCTACTTATTTATTTGTAATTGTAGAAATAAAATTATACTAATATTATTCTTACTGAAATCATCTTGGAAAATAAAATAAAATTAATCTTAAAATGAGTTGATTAATTTCAAGAAAATTTCAAAAAAAATCTCATAATAATCAAATTTTACACTTTCAATAATTTTTCTTGCATATTTTTTAAACAAAATTTTATATCAGTAAATAAAATTATATTCTCTATTATTAAATATTTGACAATTGTACAGTTTTTTGAATATATAAATCTATATATTTTATTAATGGATCTGTTATCATTATAAAAGCTATAACTTCAGAAGTTGGGCTCAAATCTTAGTCATTCCTGAACTTGTCCAGTTTATTTGATACAGATTCAGAATATTTGAATCCCAAAATAGTCATCATACTATCATTTATTAAGTTTTTATATTAATGTCATTTACAACTCCAGTTTGCAGTAATAGAAAGAAATCACTTACTTCATATCACAAATACACACACCAGTATGATCTTAAACTGTGCCTTTTTATGGTGTAGTGACCTCTGGGATTTCCATTACATGCTCCAAGATTTCATTCCTCAGTTGTAGTGTAACATTTCAGTAGCAGATTTACTGATTTTCTCACAAAATTTAATATTAATATGTTAATATAAATTTCAGTCACCCATTTTTATTCCAAAAAATACATGCAGATAACTATTACCTTCCCAATAGCTAATTAACAACTAGCTCTATCAACTTGAACTTTACATGCATATTAGTTCAAACATGTTCAAACACCAAATACAAATGTTATTTCAATATAATTATATCACGGGTGATACTATGTGGCCACTCTGGAAATTAAATTGTCACACCTTGTATACATAAAAATTAATCTTATTCAAAATGTTTAATTAAATGTCTAATAACAAAAAAATTATCTACTTTCCACAAGGCCCCACACGAGAATTTTACATCCATTTTTCTTTGAAAGGGCCTTGGATATAAAGATTACTTTATATTATACTGTAGATGAAAACTAATCATAATCAACAGTATATGCATATTTATATATCTCCAAAAACTGGATTTTTATTTTTGCAATGCAATATGAATTAGAATATGTGTATAATATATGTTATTACCTTTGATTTATTTACATCTCTCCTCTCCAAATTTTTACTATGAATATTAGATTGTTCAATACTTCCACAACTTGCAGGTGAAAGATCTACAGGAGTATGCATAGGAGAAGCTCTTGATTTATCTCGAATTTCTTGGCGATGTGAAACTGAACTAATAATTTATAATTAAAAAATAAAATACATTCTATTAATTATTAGCTCATACAAAATAATTTAAAGTAATAAGAATATCAATTGTATCTTTAAAGTTAAGAAATTAAGCATAAATTTTAATTACTTAATAAAACATTTAAATAAAATTTTCAAATTAAAAAGTTTTTATTTTAAATTTTTTATCTATTTTTTCCTCAACTGAAATTTATCATTTAACTTAAGAAAAATAAATAAAAATTTTATGATATTAGATTTTATAACTTTATGAATCAATAATTATTTTTCAGACAAATGAAAAATTAATATTTATGTAATAATTGGATGTTAAGACATAAATAAAGTATTTTTCTAATTAAGAATTACTTAAATTTTTTATTCCTTTAAATTCTTATTTTCCTGACTGTTATATATAACAGAGGGAAAGTATGAGAATCGGTCAAAAAATGAACTCCCCAAGATTTTTACATTGACGGGACCTTGAAACAATGCAAAAGTGAAAAATTCTAGTTTTTTTTTTTTCTATGGATGTTAGTGTTTGTGTGGGGAAACACAATTTTGTTCACCCTTTTTAAAGCTTAATAACTCCAGTGCATTTTGTCAAAAATTTCTGAAACTTGGCAGGGAAGTTTGTTTATTTGTGAGATTGATGCTATTAAATTTTGGTGATTAAAGGTTGGGGTGGGGAGATAAAGAGGGTCATGTCTATCTTCAGTGAGGAGGACTTCATGATGATTTTACTTGTTATTAGCATTTACAACTTTTTATAAAACCCATCCCTGCCCTCAAAATTAAGCATTTTGCCATTTTATAATAATTAAAAATGGAAAAAGTTTTTAAATAAAATATCATAACAGATGGTACCACCAAAATTTTAAATGTTGCTGGGAAAGTTGAGCAACTTGTTGTTGGTTTATATATTTTAAACATTCATTCAGTTTCAGATGTGATATTTTGGTTTTGATATCAAACATTTCATTAAAATATATTCCTTTGTAAAAAAAAGTATGACATTAATATATTAATTATGATTAGTCAACTAAAAATTATCAGCATTACTGTGAATAAGGAGATCCTTTTTCACTGTAAGTTCCCATGAGTGACATTTTTTCTTTTGGTCCAGAACTTTTGCTATAAAAAAATTCAAAATTAAATTAAGTATCTGAACTATTAATTCATTTTATTTATGTTTAAATGTATTAAATATTTTTTTAAAATTTTAAAACATGAATTTTTCATTAATAAAATATTGTTAATTTATATACAGTTATGAGTAGGTTTTATATTATAATAAATATTATTTCTACAGAAGCATCCTAAAAAATTTAATTTTTATTGTTATATTAACACACAGAAAGTATTAAAAGAAGCAGTAATTCCAGACAAAACAAACACTCAAAGATCACTAGCAAAGATGAAGTATGGACAGTTATTGTGAAAGTTTGCTGAAAGGTTCTTCATTTTGGATAATGAAGTTTACTTCACCCTCTTGGAGTCAAGAATCAATGGTAATAGCAGGGTTATGGCAGTGGAAATAAGTGAGAAAAGAGAGTCCACGTCGAAAAAAAGCTAATAGTGTTAAAGTGAAGTGAAAGAGACATTATTAAAAAAAAAAAATACACACACACATTTTGTACCAATAACATTGCATATGATATTAGATTGATTATTAAGTGAACTGAAAAAATTAAATATAAAAATAATTAGGCTGAGTTTATACTCTAGAAAAGTGACCAGTAAGACTGCATTAAGCCAGAACAGGCCAGCATTAAGTTTTCATGTGCCCTGTACGGAGTACCCACCATTATACAGCAAAGGAAATGGAAGAGTAACATAACTACCAGAATGTGTCTTCATATAACATGCTAAATTTCAAATGACATTTATTTCAAGGTACATTTTTTAATTTCTTGTAAAAAAAATTTGTAATTAAAGATTTTCTTGTGTTTAAATTATGCTGCATTTCTGTACTTCTCTTCTTTTTTCCTCTTCATCACACTGAATTTTCTTTGCACCTTCCAATAGCCCTTGGGCAAGATGTATCTCTTCAACATTGTTTTTCTCAACAGCGTTTCATAGTCTATTAGTGGCTTCTTCAAACATTCTAGACCTTGTTTTCCTTTGTATTTCTTTTTTTCCTTCAGCTCAGCTTCAAGAGTATCAATTTTTTTTCTCTCCTGTTCAAGTGCTTTTATTTTATCCTTCTCTTCTTTTCTCTCCCTTCTTGTTCTTTTTTTCAGCTTTTCTTCTTCTTTCAGTTTACTTTACTTATCCAAAAAAGCCTTGTAAGTAGCTTTTGCATTTTGTAAGTACGCATTGTGGGCCAATCCAAGTAACTTCTTTGTCATTGGCACCAAAAAGGCCTTATTGTTGTATACACAAAGGCCATCTTTTACTATCAACAATAAATTCATAATTTGTTATGACATAGAGGCTCTCTCTTCTGAAAGAACCCATCTAGAAATGGAAATTCTCTTTCAACATCTGCATTGCCATGACTGAGAGCCAACAACACTGACTGCTTTAGTGACAGTTGGGTATTTTGGCATCCAAGCAGAATTCATCAGGTCAAATAAGTGCTTATAATCATGTTATTTTAAAGTGAATAACTTGTAAAGAATTCAAATTTAACCTAAAAATAATTTAATTTTTTCCATTGGTATATTTTAATAATTTTATAAAGTTTTATGACACCATGTCCCATATAATTTTTGTATTTTTTTTTAATTTTATGAACGTAAAAATGTGAGGTGACTGTAATATATAAATTAAAGAATTTTTGTTTATTAACTTGCATATAGATGGGCTAGATGCGTACATATCCAGCAGATGCATGGCATTTTTTTTTTTTTTATTGAATTTCTCAAAAATAAATAACAGTTGAACTGCAGGCTTTGTAGTATTCCTCATCTGATATGTTCTGAAATGATTCCCACAATAGTTTTCAAACTCATGACCTTTTTTTGGAGAAATTTTACAAAAACCAATTCCTTACCTGCAGTAAATTCTCTTGCAGTGTGAGAGCAATGCACTCTCGTGATTGCTATGTGCAACATTGAAATTTAATAAAATAACAATGTAGAATATTTAACCTTTACCACAATGCTATACATTCTATCTTTTTCTCCTGGTTTCAATGACAGAACCAATCCCAATTCATTTCAAATAAGTCATTGCAGCTGTTTTGACAATGTGATTTTCTTGCTTTGGTATTATTGCCCCATCTCCTGATCAGATTAATAAAAAGAAATTTAATACTTTTTTACAATTTTGTAACAATTAAAATTTATGTTCATTATGTAGCAATACTCAGTCATTGTGACCCAAACATTTATTTGGTAATTTTACAAATATTTTTTAAATAATTAAAAATAAAATTATAGAATTCATTACCGGCAATACTTGTTGTCAAATCTGAAAGAAAATATTCCCCGAGTGCAAGAAAACAATTTGTTAGTCATTTGACTCACAATTGACAGAAAAAGGAGTTTATGAAAACAAAGTAAGTAATAAAATGATTAGCAGTTTGATGTCCTTCATAGTGGGAACCGGCAGAGTCTATTACTTTTGCAGGAGAAAATATACAAAGCTTTACTATCCTGAAGTTGAAAAATAATACAATCCTGTGAAATTTAACAAATCTGATGTCAATAAGTAAATGTTGAAATTATTTATAGTGAGTTGATATTTGATAAGTTTAGTTTTTTGCATTTACAGGTCAAATTACAAAAAATAAGAATCTCATTAAAAAAAAATTAAAATCATAAAATTTCACTTACAAACAATCGAGATGCAATGCATGCTTTATTTTTATAATTGCTTTGTTTTATTCAGACACAGATATCATTCCTATATAGATTTATTAATTATAATAAACATACATTATGTGTAAAATTACGTTAAAATAACACACTCTAATTAACATCTGAAATGCAAAAGTAATTGGATCGAGTCCCACTGCCATATTAATTAATGCGTCTGAGTTAATTAATATGATTAACATTAATTAATCGATTCTGAGCTCATCATGTTGCATCAAATTAAATAATTTATAAAAATTAAAATAATAAATATGTTTACAATAATATTGTAAAACACACTTACTATAGTTTTAGTATTTCCAATAATATTTCATTTACTTTTGAATTTTAAAATCTAAGAAAAACATATTTTTTAAAATTAATTTTTACGCATTTATATCCGCAACTTCCGATAATACAAAGACATAAGAATCTATCAAAAAGAGTTAGTTAATAATAATTCAAATCAAGAAAAAAATAAATAAATAAAACTTTCAAGATAAGGAAATTTCTGTCATTAAAAGTCAGGTATGCAATCATGTGACGCCTGTCTCCCCATCTTGTGTAACCAAATCAGTCGAGGTTGAAATAAAAGCCCAAACTCCAGTAGAAGTAAAAACAAACATTGGTGCATGTCTAGGAAAATAAACTTAAATGGGAGCAAAGATGAAACATAACACCTTGTAATTTATGCTAATTACTTTCTAATATTAAAAAATTAAAATCTTCAATAAATTATAATTAAATTAAATTTTTTTTGACTGAGTTTGACTAGAAACATATCGAAAAGCTAGATTAAAGTGAAAATAGCAGTTTTTTAACACTAAATATTTACAAAAAAATTTTTTAATTTGGTGCCAGATTGACCGCAGGTGTGCAATTTATATTAGAATGAGCATGCATGTGATGGGTTTTAATTGGTTGGGACCAAATGCTTCATTGCATTTATTTATATGTTTCTTGTTGCTTGAATGTTGGAGGATTGCATGGAAACCTTTACTAGATACACTGATATTGGAAGCACACAACATGCAGAAAAGCTCCGAGTCAGACAACCTATGTCCCCAAGATGACACCACAAGACCATTTGAGTCAGTTTTAAGAAGCCAGCTCTCCCTAAGCATGCACTTTACCTTGCTTGTGGTTTACTTTAGGTTGTAGTTTCTGTCAAAATGAAAAATGAAGGACATTGTTAGAAAGCAGAAAACCATGGTGCATGCCAAATATATAAACACCCACTTAAAACTAAACTTTTGTCTTTGTCTACAGATTGTCTTTACAGAAGTTATTAATATTTAGGATACTAGTTTAAAATCTCATACTTTCTGGCATGAGGTTTGCTCAATCTTTAATTTTACAGAGTGCTAGAAAGTTACAAGATTTTAAATGAATGTCAATTGTTTTATTTAACAATAACACTAAAAATTAAATTTATTATCACTCAACAATTATTATTTTCAGTTTTTCTACGGTAGTCAAGAAAGAGTGATGTCATCATTTAAGCTAAAGAATAGTAGGAATGACTATTGGGAAAGGAAAGCTTGCTTAACAACTTACTTCATAAACTATTGGATTCTATACAATTTTCCATTGCTAAAACACGAGTTTCTATTGTTAGTATTAAATAAAATCTATTTCTTTCTTTTGTCCACTGCACTTAAATAAATAAAAATGCTAAAAATAATGCTGTACAAAAATCACTCTTAACGTCAAACCATAGGTATACTTAAGCCTTAGTGCAGTCTGATTGTATCAAAGTGCAGAAAGATCGGTATTTCACAAGAATACAAGCAAAGAGAACGCACATGCAAATTCCTATAGCATGTGAAGAGTAGCAAGCCTTGGGAAACTCCTCATTATGTTAGCCTATATACATGTACATGTGTAGATGGCAGTGCCTTATCATGTGGCACAAGTCACATGATAAGGCATATGGCAGTGTGCTGGTTGCTATTTTGCTCCTAAGCGCATTTACAAAAATAAATAAATAAATTCCACATGGGAATTTGAAAAAAAGTGAGAAAAGCGAGTCACTTTAAGCCCTGTAATAGTAGATTTTATACTACTGATAGCTCTTCTATACCTGTCAATGTAAAGTTTTCCAATAAAAAAATTTTGAGGGCAAAGTTTTTGATTGCAATGGGACCAAAAGGATTGAGTCAAGTCCTAATCAGAAAATCAAGTTTTTCTATCAATGCCCAGCAATATTTAAATGAATGTATATGACATCACATAATTCCTTATATTTGAAAATACTATTCTCAAGCAGAACATTTTCATACCAGATCAAGCAAGTTTCCATTATGCCAAAACTGTGCTGGATTATCTGTGATAAGAAAACATCACCTTTGTCAAGGACAACCCTGCAAAACTAACAGAATGTTTCATCCAATTCTTCATGCATGACTTCCTATGTAACTACATTAACAAAAGTAGTATATCTTTAGTACTTTTGTGGTGAAAAAGATGCAATGGACTTTCAACTCACCCTGTATATTAATAGTGTGACCAAATCCTTGCTCATGAGCCACATGCAGCTCTTACATGCCATCAATATGGCTCCTGAAAGATATCTGATCATTTTAAGGTAAAAGCAGAAATGAAATAAGCCTTGCAAAATATGCACATGTAATTCAACTGTCATGGCTCTTATTGACATTGACTAAGATAACTGACTTAAAATTTATATGTATATGTATGTTGGGTGGCCATCCAATATACATTAGTATTAGTAAGTTTATTATATTGTTTCTGTATTAATAATATTTTTGATATATAAAATGTTCTAAATTATATTAATATAAATACATATATAAGTATTAATGTATGTACAAAATTCATACCTTTTTCCACTAGGAGAATGCATACGTTCTCTTTTTTCTTGTTTTCCCCCAGACCAATCTGAATGTCGACTACTTCTCATGGAATATCTATCTTCTTCAAGATCATAAGGAATTCGTTGCATTTCATTGCCTAAAAAAATTATATATTGTTTATTAAAATGCTATGTATAAAGTTAATGGTTATTTAAATTACCATGTTTTCTCAATTCTGAGTAAACCAAACAATGAGTTTGAAATTCAATTTTAAGTTATTTTTACAAAGAGAAAAATTTTTAAATAATCAATTTTATTAAGATACTTGATTGCCTGCTGTTCTCTCAATTGGTTATATATTTCTTGGAACATAGCATAAAATTGCTAGTGAGAACTTATTACATAGGAATTCATTCTCATAAACATATAACTTTTATTTTATTCTAAGATGCAAAAAAGTACATCTTAGAATAAAATAAAAGTTATAAAAATTAATTTACAAATTATCTAAAATAACATTGAAATTAAAATTTATGCTTTATAACAATATCAAAGAAATCTCTAAACAATTGATGCTACATTAAAAATTGAATTAGTATAAATAATTCATTTTTTGAAAAACTTATATTAGTCAAGTTTAACCTTCTAAAGAGCAGGTGGGAGGTCATAAAATGACCCCAATGCCAGTTTTTTTATGAATATTTAACTAAAAATTTTTTAGCATTATCTTTTTTCTTTCTATCTGAGTTTTATATTGTTTTATAATGTGTTTTAAAATTTTGTTCTAAAAACGTACAGCATTTAAAAAAAATATATATATATATTTCAGAGTTAGGGACACTAATTGATCCAACATTGTTGTTAATGGTATAATTTTTTCAATGTTGTTTACTGCATATATTGGCATTCCAAGTTTATATGGGAACATCAACTTGAAAACATGTTAGAAAACGCAATTCATGTAATCATTTGAACTTAATTGTTTTGGTTAACATCTATTAGTTCTAAGTGTAACTCTATTGCATATTATTATTTCTTTATAATTTTTAAGTATTTTATTTTATTTTATTTCTTAATGTAAAATATTTTTCTTATGTATTATTAAATGTGTGTATAGCTAATTATTGTGTTTTATTTCACATTATAAGCAAATTAGAGCTTTTACAGTAAATGACTCCACTTGTAAATATGGCCATCCATATTTCAAAATTTTACTTGGTCGTTGGAAGGTTAAGATAGTTAAATAAATTTTTCCTCATAAAATCAATTAATGTAAGAAAATAAAAAATAATTGTATCTTAATTTTATATGATTTATTTTGAACTATGCCTAAACTTTCAGTTCCATTAAATAATTAAGATATTCTATTCACAAGTGTCTCTGATATATACATATATATCATCAGAATATATATATATATATATATATACATCACTGGGCCTTTTACTTGATGTTCAAAAGCACTTGGTCTTTACANTTATGTAATAATTGGATGTTAAGACATAAATAAAGTATTTTTCTAATTAAGAATTACTTAAATTTTTTATTCCTTTAAATTCTTATTTTCCTGACTGTTATATATAACAGAGGGAAAGTATGAGAATCGGTCAAAAAATGAACTCCCCAAGATTTTTACATTGACGGGACCTTGAAACAATGCAAAAGTGAAAAATTCTAGTTTTTTTTTTTTCTATGGATGTTAGTGTTTGTGTGGGGAAACACAATTTTGTTCACCCTTTTTAAAGCTTAATAACTCCAGTGCATTTTGTCAAAAATTTCTGAAACTTGGCAGGGAAGTTTGTTTATTTGTGAGATTGATGCTATTAAATTTTGGTGATTAAAGGTTGGGGTGGGGAGATAAAGAGGGTCATGTCTATCTTCAGTGAGGAGGACTTCATGATGATTTTACTTGTTATTAGCATTTACAACTTTTTATAAAACCCATCCCTGCCCTCAAAATTAAGCATTTTGCCATTTTATAATAATTAAAAATGGAAAAAGTTTTTAAATAAAATATCATAACAGATGGTACCACCAAAATTTTAAATGTTGCTGGGAAAGTTGAGCAACTTGTTGTTGGTTTATATATTTTAAACATTCATTCAGTTTCAGATGTGATATTTTGGTTTTGATATCAAACATTTCATTAAAATATATTCCTTTGTAAAAAAAAGTATGACATTAATATATTAATTATGATTAGTCAACTAAAAATTATCAGCATTACTGTGAATAAGGAGATCCTTTTTCACTGTAAGTTCCCATGAGTGACATTTTTTCTTTTGGTCCAGAACTTTTGCTATAAAAAAATTCAAAATTAAATTAAGTATCTGAACTATTAATTCATTTTATTTATGTTTAAATGTATTAAATATTTTTTTAAAATTTTAAAACATGAATTTTTCATTAATAAAATATTGTTAATTTATATACAGTTATGAGTAGGTTTTATATTATAATAAATATTATTTCTACAGAAGCATCCTAAAAAATTTAATTTTTATTGTTATATTAACACACAGAAAGTATTAAAAGAAGCAGTAATTCCAGACAAAACAAACACTCAAAGATCACTAGCAAAGATGAAGTATGGACAGTTATTGTGAAAGTTTGCTGAAAGGTTCTTCATTTTGGATAATGAAGTTTACTTCACCCTCTTGGAGTCAAGAATCAATGGTAATAGCAGGGTTATGGCAGTGGAAATAAGTGAGAAAAGAGAGTCCACGTCGAAAAAAAGCTAATAGTGTTAAAGTGAAGTGAAAGAGACATTATTAAAAAAAAAAAATACACACACACATTTTGTACCAATAACATTGCATATGATATTAGATTGATTATTAAGTGAACTGAAAAAATTAAATATAAAAATAATTAGGCTGAGTTTATACTCTAGAAAAGTGACCAGTAAGACTGCATTAAGCCAGAACAGGCCAGCATTAAGTTTTCATGTGCCCTGTACGGAGTACCCACCATTATACAGCAAAGGAAATGGAAGAGTAACATAACTACCAGAATGTGTCTTCATATAACATGCTAAATTTCAAATGACATTTATTTCAAGGTACATTTTTTAATTTCTTGTAAAAAAAATTTGTAATTAAAGATTTTCTTGTGTTTAAATTATGCTGCATTTCTGTACTTCTCTTCTTTTTTCCTCTTCATCACACTGAATTTTCTTTGCACCTTCCAATAGCCCTTGGGCAAGATGTATCTCTTCAACATTGTTTTTCTCAACAGCGTTTCATAGTCTATTAGTGGCTTCTTCAAACATTCTAGACCTTGTTTTCCTTTGTATTTCTTTTTTTCCTTCAGCTCAGCTTCAAGAGTATCAATTTTTTTTCTCTCCTGTTCAAGTGCTTTTATTTTATCCTTCTCTTCTTTTCTCTCCCTTCTTGTTCTTTTTTTCAGCTTTTCTTCTTCTTTCAGTTTACTTTACTTATCCAAAAAAGCCTTGTAAGTAGCTTTTGCATTTTGTAAGTACGCATTGTGGGCCAATCCAAGTAACTTCTTTGTCATTGGCACCAAAAAGGCCTTATTGTTGTATACACAAAGGCCATCTTTTACTATCAACAATAAATTCATAATTTGTTATGACATAGAGGCTCTCTCTTCTGAAAGAACCCATCTAGAAATGGAAATTCTCTTTCAACATCTGCATTGCCATGACTGAGAGCCAACAACACTGACTGCTTTAGTGACAGTTGGGTATTTTGGCATCCAAGCAGAATTCATCAGGTCAAATAAGTGCTTATAATCATGTTATTTTAAAGTGAATAACTTGTAAAGAATTCAAATTTAACCTAAAAATAATTTAATTTTTTCCATTGGTATATTTTAATAATTTTATAAAGTTTTATGACACCATGTCCCATATAATTTTTGTATTTTTTTTTAATTTTATGAACGTAAAAATGTGAGGTGACTGTAATATATAAATTAAAGAATTTTTGTTTATTAACTTGCATATAGATGGGCTAGATGCGTACATATCCAGCAGATGCATGGCATTTTTTTTTTTTTTATTGAATTTCTCAAAAATAAATAACAGTTGAACTGCAGGCTTTGTAGTATTCCTCATCTGATATGTTCTGAAATGATTCCCACAATAGTTTTCAAACTCATGACCTTTTTTTGGAGAAATTTTACAAAAACCAATTCCTTACCTGCAGTAAATTCTCTTGCAGTGTGAGAGCAATGCACTCTCGTGATTGCTATGTGCAACATTGAAATTTAATAAAATAACAATGTAGAATATTTAACCTTTACCACAATGCTATACATTCTATCTTTTTCTCCTGGTTTCAATGACAGAACCAATCCCAATTCATTTCAAATAAGTCATTGCAGCTGTTTTGACAATGTGATTTTCTTGCTTTGGTATTATTGCCCCATCTCCTGATCAGATTAATAAAAAGAAATTTAATACTTTTTTACAATTTTGTAACAATTAAAATTTATGTTCATTATGTAGCAATACTCAGTCATTGTGACCCAAACATTTATTTGGTAATTTTACAAATATTTTTTAAATAATTAAAAATAAAATTATAGAATTCATTACCGGCAATACTTGTTGTCAAATCTGAAAGAAAATATTCCCCGAGTGCAAGAAAACAATTTGTTAGTCATTTGACTCACAATTGACAGAAAAAGGAGTTTATGAAAACAAAGTAAGTAATAAAATGATTAGCAGTTTGATGTCCTTCATAGTGGGAACCGGCAGAGTCTATTACTTTTGCAGGAGAAAATATACAAAGCTTTACTATCCTGAAGTTGAAAAATAATACAATCCTGTGAAATTTAACAAATCTGATGTCAATAAGTAAATGTTGAAATTATTTATAGTGAGTTGATATTTGATAAGTTTAGTTTTTTGCATTTACAGGTCAAATTACAAAAAATAAGAATCTCATTAAAAAAAAATTAAAATCATAAAATTTCACTTACAAACAATCGAGATGCAATGCATGCTTTATTTTTATAATTGCTTTGTTTTATTCAGACACAGATATCATTCCTATATAGATTTATTAATTATAATAAACATACATTATGTGTAAAATTACGTTAAAATAACACACTCTAATTAACATCTGAAATGCAAAAGTAATTGGATCGAGTCCCACTGCCATATTAATTAATGCGTCTGAGTTAATTAATATGATTAACATTAATTAATCGATTCTGAGCTCATCATGTTGCATCAAATTAAATAATTTATAAAAATTAAAATAATAAATATGTTTACAATAATATTGTAAAACACACTTACTATAGTTTTAGTATTTCCAATAATATTTCATTTACTTTTGAATTTTAAAATCTAAGAAAAACATATTTTTTAAAATTAATTTTTACGCATTTATATCCGCAACTTCCGATAATACAAAGACATAAGAATCTATCAAAAAGAGTTAGTTAATAATAATTCAAATCAAGAAAAAAATAAATAAATAAAACTTTCAAGATAAGGAAATTTCTGTCATTAAAAGTCAGGTATGCAATCATGTGACGCCTGTCTCCCCATCTTGTGTAACCAAATCAGTCGAGGTTGAAATAAAAGCCCAAACTCCAGTAGAAGTAAAAACAAACATTGGTGCATGTCTAGGAAAATAAACTTAAATGGGAGCAAAGATGAAACATAACACCTTGTAATTTATGCTAATTACTTTCTAATATTAAAAAATTAAAATCTTCAATAAATTATAATTAAATTAAATTTTTTTTGACTGAGTTTGACTAGAAACATATCGAAAAGCTAGATTAAAGTGAAAATAGCAGTTTTTTAACACTAAATATTTACAAAAAAATTTTTTAATTTGGTGCCAGATTGACCGCAGGTGTGCAATTTATATTAGAATGAGCATGCATGTGATGGGTTTTAATTGGTTGGGACCAAATGCTTCATTGCATTTATTTATATGTTTCTTGTTGCTTGAATGTTGGAGGATTGCATGGAAACCTTTACTAGATACACTGATATTGGAAGCACACAACATGCAGAAAAGCTCCGAGTCAGACAACCTATGTCCCCAAGATGACACCACAAGACCATTTGAGTCAGTTTTAAGAAGCCAGCTCTCCCTAAGCATGCACTTTACCTTGCTTGTGGTTTACTTTAGGTTGTAGTTTCTGTCAAAATGAAAAATGAAGGACATTGTTAGAAAGCAGAAAACCATGGTGCATGCCAAATATATAAACACCCACTTAAAACTAAACTTTTGTCTTTGTCTACAGATTGTCTTTACAGAAGTTATTAATATTTAGGATACTAGTTTAAAATCTCATACTTTCTGGCATGAGGTTTGCTCAATCTTTAATTTTACAGAGTGCTAGAAAGTTACAAGATTTTAAATGAATGTCAATTGTTTTATTTAACAATAACACTAAAAATTAAATTTATTATCACTCAACAATTATTATTTTCAGTTTTTCTACGGTAGTCAAGAAAGAGTGATGTCATCATTTAAGCTAAAGAATAGTAGGAATGACTATTGGGAAAGGAAAGCTTGCTTAACAACTTACTTCATAAACTATTGGATTCTATACAATTTTCCATTGCTAAAACACGAGTTTCTATTGTTAGTATTAAATAAAATCTATTTCTTTCTTTTGTCCACTGCACTTAAATAAATAAAAATGCTAAAAATAATGCTGTACAAAAATCACTCTTAACGTCAAACCATAGGTATACTTAAGCCTTAGTGCAGTCTGATTGTATCAAAGTGCAGAAAGATCGGTATTTCACAAGAATACAAGCAAAGAGAACGCACATGCAAATTCCTATAGCATGTGAAGAGTAGCAAGCCTTGGGAAACTCCTCATTATGTTAGCCTATATACATGTACATGTGTAGATGGCAGTGCCTTATCATGTGGCACAAGTCACATGATAAGGCATATGGCAGTGTGCTGGTTGCTATTTTGCTCCTAAGCGCATTTACAAAAATAAATAAATAAATTCCACATGGGAATTTGAAAAAAAGTGAGAAAAGCGAGTCACTTTAAGCCCTGTAATAGTAGATTTTATACTACTGATAGCTCTTCTATACCTGTCAATGTAAAGTTTTCCAATAAAAAAATTTTGAGGGCAAAGTTTTTGATTGCAATGGGACCAAAAGGATTGAGTCAAGTCCTAATCAGAAAATCAAGTTTTTCTATCAATGCCCAGCAATATTTAAATGAATGTATATGACATCACATAATTCCTTATATTTGAAAATACTATTCTCAAGCAGAACATTTTCATACCAGATCAAGCAAGTTTCCATTATGCCAAAACTGTGCTGGATTATCTGTGATAAGAAAACATCACCTTTGTCAAGGACAACCCTGCAAAACTAACAGAATGTTTCATCCAATTCTTCATGCATGACTTCCTATGTAACTACATTAACAAAAGTAGTATATCTTTAGTACTTTTGTGGTGAAAAAGATGCAATGGACTTTCAACTCACCCTGTATATTAATAGTGTGACCAAATCCTTGCTCATGAGCCACATGCAGCTCTTACATGCCATCAATATGGCTCCTGAAAGATATCTGATCATTTTAAGGTAAAAGCAGAAATGAAATAAGCCTTGCAAAATATGCACATGTAATTCAACTGTCATGGCTCTTATTGACATTGACTAAGATAACTGACTTAAAATTTATATGTATATGTATGTTGGGTGGCCATCCAATATACATTAGTATTAGTAAGTTTATTATATTGTTTCTGTATTAATAATATTTTTGATATATAAAATGTTCTAAATTATATTAATATAAATACATATATAAGTATTAATGTATGTACAAAATTCATACCTTTTTCCACTAGGAGAATGCATACGTTCTCTTTTTTCTTGTTTTCCCCCAGACCAATCTGAATGTCGACTACTTCTCATGGAATATCTATCTTCTTCAAGATCATAAGGAATTCGTTGCATTTCATTGCCTAAAAAAATTATATATTGTTTATTAAAATGCTATGTATAAAGTTAATGGTTATTTAAATTACCATGTTTTCTCAATTCTGAGTAAACCAAACAATGAGTTTGAAATTCAATTTTAAGTTATTTTTACAAAGAGAAAAATTTTTAAATAATCAATTTTATTAAGATACTTGATTGCCTGCTGTTCTCTCAATTGGTTATATATTTCTTGGAACATAGCATAAAATTGCTAGTGAGAACTTATTACATAGGAATTCATTCTCATAAACATATAACTTTTATTTTATTCTAAGATGCAAAAAAGTACATCTTAGAATAAAATAAAAGTTATAAAAATTAATTTACAAATTATCTAAAATAACATTGAAATTAAAATTTATGCTTTATAACAATATCAAAGAAATCTCTAAACAATTGATGCTACATTAAAAATTGAATTAGTATAAATAATTCATTTTTTGAAAAACTTATATTAGTCAAGTTTAACCTTCTAAAGAGCAGGTGGGAGGTCATAAAATGACCCCAATGCCAGTTTTTTTATGAATATTTAACTAAAAATTTTTTAGCATTATCTTTTTTCTTTCTATCTGAGTTTTATATTGTTTTATAATGTGTTTTAAAATTTTGTTCTAAAAACGTACAGCATTTAAAAAAAATATATATATATATTTCAGAGTTAGGGACACTAATTGATCCAACATTGTTGTTAATGGTATAATTTTTTCAATGTTGTTTACTGCATATATTGGCATTCCAAGTTTATATGGGAACATCAACTTGAAAACATGTTAGAAAACGCAATTCATGTAATCATTTGAACTTAATTGTTTTGGTTAACATCTATTAGTTCTAAGTGTAACTCTATTGCATATTATTATTTCTTTATAATTTTTAAGTATTTTATTTTATTTTATTTCTTAATGTAAAATATTTTTCTTATGTATTATTAAATGTGTGTATAGCTAATTATTGTGTTTTATTTCACATTATAAGCAAATTAGAGCTTTTACAGTAAATGACTCCACTTGTAAATATGGCCATCCATATTTCAAAATTTTACTTGGTCGTTGGAAGGTTAAGATAGTTAAATAAATTTTTCCTCATAAAATCAATTAATGTAAGAAAATAAAAAATAATTGTATCTTAATTTTATATGATTTATTTTGAACTATGCCTAAACTTTCAGTTCCATTAAATAATTAAGATATTCTATTCACAAGTGTCTCTGATATATACATATATATCATCAGAATATATATATATATATATATATACATCACTGGGCCTTTTACTTGATGTTCAAAAGCACTTGGTCTTTACATATTTTAGTTTGTTTTTTCCTTCATTATAAGAATTTTTGTTATATTAGTATTTTAATGAAGATTTTTTANCTAATAATAAAAATTTTAATTACATATAGAATATTTTAAAAAATAATTATATTATGAATTTTATTTAATAAATAAGATTGTTTATTACTCATAACAGGCAAGGAACTTTCAACAATTCCACCATAACTTTCCCAACTATCTCGATGTGGTGCACGATTCCTGTTCCAACGATCTTCTAAAGGTAAATGTTCATCCATAGGGATATCTTGAACATAACCTAAATTAAATAAAGTTTTGTAATCAATGATAAATGCAAAATATTAAAATATTGTGTAGAAAGATTGTTATTTATTTGTGAAAATTGAAAAAAATGTGATTTTTTGAAAATATCCTGTTCATAAATAGGAACCTGTACTCAAAATACTTCTTTAAATAAACAAATAGAAGATTTTTTAAATTGAAATATATTTCATTTTACAAAGTAGACAATAAATATAACATATTTCTGTATTTGAAAATTTTACATTAATTAATGAAGAAGAAGAAATTTATACAAAGTTTTTTATAACATATATTGAAGTGGTACCATACTTAAGTGCCACTTATTGTATGTAATCATTTTGGGACTAGCCTACACCAATAACAATAACAGATCTGTAACGTTTGTAGTGAAAGTAATTAGACTAAAATTAGTAGAAATTTTAGTTTTATTGAATCAGATAATTTAAAAGCATGTTAAAACAATTAATTGTTTTAACATAATTAATGTTAAAACAATTAAATAAATTTAATAATTAACATTGCCAAATAGTCTGTTGGATTTTATCAGACTATATTTTAAGCCTACTTAATAATCAGAATCAAAGCAATTTGTCTAGAGCAGGGGTCGCCAAACTTTTTTACTTTTTTAACCGTCGACCCCCAACAACTTTCCAAAACCTCACATTGACCTCCACTGTAAAGTTTTATTATAAGTGCAAGAGCAAAAAAAAAAAAAAAATGAAAGAAAGAAACGATTTTACTATGCATTTCCTTTAATTTTACATACTTTAAACTTATTTGTAACTCACAATCAGTGAGACGGGTGAGCTTGATGTTCCATCACAAGATTAGCAATATTTGGGTCAAAATTTGTTAGCTTTTCTCTTAAAAAAAAAAAAAAGGTTTTTTCAGAGCATAATTTTGAAAATTAAGCAGGCATTAAGGGGCAGCTAGTGAGCAGTGGTTGGGTCACTAGTAAAACAGTAGCAACTGAAACTTGGTTAGAAACTTTTAGTAGTTACTTTTATTTGCTTTATAGAACGCTTTACAGTATTTATGTGGAATACTAAAATTAAATGAACAGCGTCTAAAAATAACTATAGAGTTGCTAGTCAGCTTACTGAGAATACAAGCTTATAAATGCTATGAATTCTTGATGTGCTATGTAAGTAAGAACTGGAGCACAAACTCGGCAATTTCTGTCCGTCCTGTGTGACTTGATCCGTAGCCATTTTACATGTTGACAGGTAGCTGTATTATTAAATTCATTGAAACAATAATATGTATAGTTAAATTTGTGATTTTTAGTTTCAATTTTTCCATCTACCCCCCCAATCAACACCCTAGCCGCATCGACCCCCCCAATAACGTTACAACGACCCCTGGGGGTTGATATCGACCACTTTGGCGACCCATGGTCTCGAGGAAGGCATTTAAGCCACCATATCTTGATACATTTAATAATTAGAAATTTAATTTAGATTGAAAATCTGGAAGACAGTTTGGCAATGTTAAAGTATCAGGTTGTGGTAATTCATATTCAAGGATATAGCCAGAAATTTCTGTGTGTGGGTGACCTGCATGGCTGATGGATTGAGTAGACCTAGCATAGGTTGGTAATGCAGCTCATTGCATGTCATATACAAGCCATATGTAAACCAATATAATTTACACAAGACAATGCTGAATTAAAAAAGTAGAGATTGAACAAGAACAAGTATTGAATTTTATTCTTTACCTCATGATTGTTCATATAACTTAGTATTTGAGTCTGTTTTTCTGTTTCATCCAATCGTCAAGTGCTTGTGATATTCTTTTTTTTTTTACATTGTTTACTTTTAAACTTGACTGGAGTGGCAGTGGTGGCTGCAGAGAGTGAGGGTTGAAGAGCATTAGTTGGGAAATGCTATCTCTTGTGGCTATATCCCTATATATTTAATAATTACCTTAAAAGTCTCTCAATTATAATAACAATTAATTTAACAGTTCACACAGTGTTATTTGCTGACTATTTTTGGCAATATTTCATTAACAAAATGCTTATATTCATAATGTTCTCAAAACTCAAAACTATATGTACTGTATGCCACAACCAAGTTTTCAATGCTCAGATGCAAGCAGCTCTGTGAGTACTCCGAGTTCAATTTCTCTTGCAAATCATGTATTCATTTTTCCTGCTGTAATTTCAATATTTATTCTCTTTTTTAAAATCTTGCATAAAAACTGACTGTGAAAGTTTTACCTGTGCAGCAGCATTACAATGACTTATTTTTAGCTACTGAGCACAACATTCTAAAATTTCAAGTTTATCTTTGAAGGATAAATCTGCACTTTTATTTGCATGTTCCATTATACAGTATTAATTAAGAGGTACTGTACAATATGGTGCTATACTTTGTGATCTTCACTATGGTTTAGTTTGTCTTCATTTATAGACTAATTGTTTACTGTTAAACAATTAGTCTATAAATGAAGTAACAAGAAACTAAAATTAAACAACAGTATTGTATGCAAGGTTGAAACAAATGTTTAACATATTAAGAGTAAACATCATTTATGATTAAGTGATTTCATTTACATTGATTCTGATCATTCTGCTAAGACTTTTATTGAAACAACATAGCTTGTAACCACTATTAACTGTCTAAATAAATTCAAACTTATCAATTTTATTATTTATTTTATTTTATTTATATTTATTTTTATTTATGTTATTTATGTTTTGGAACATGTTTATTGTGATAATGTTAAATGAATGATAACAATATCTGCAATTACAACAAATGACACCTACTGACATTAAAATTAATAAATTAAATCATAGATCTAATATTTAGTTTTCTTAATATTCTTTTATATAGGGTGTAACAGAAATGTGTGTAAAGAAAGGGAGGTATTGTAGAGAGGTCAATTTTGAATCAAAAATTCTAGTGCTGTTTTTTGATTTTGAAGTGTTCTTTTTGAGTTATAAGCAATTAAAAAACTTTGACATCATTTTCTGTTTGAGAAAACAATATCTGATATATGAATATATCTGTTGTTAATTGCATGTTAGTTTGATACACCATCAATTATTATCTGCAATATTTAATTTTTTATTTGAATTTTGACCCTTTTTTGTAACAATACAAGCTTTTATAATTAAATGATTTGTTACTTTCAAATAAATCAATAATGTTCAGTAGCTTACTAATGAATAATACATCCTTTATAGCCTATAATATTACAAAAAAAGGGTCAAAATTGAATTAATAAATTAATATTGCAAATAATAAATAAATGGCATCAAACTCACATGCAATTATCAACAGATATCTTCATATATCAGATGTCATTTTCACCAAACAGAAAATGATGTCACGTTTAATTACCTATAACTCAAAAAGAATACTTCAAATAAAACAAATGGCAAAAAAAAACAACTCAAAATTAACCTTTAAATTTTTTACACACAATTCTGTTACAGCCTGAATTTAATATGTTTTTCAAGTTTTAACATATTCTTTTGTGACATGTAAAATCTAAAAAATTTAAAAACAAAAGTAACCTGTTAATAAAATATTTAATGCTTCAATTTTGTAGTAACTGTTCCATATAAATTTTATCATCACTTTATTTTGCTTTAAGTTACTAGTAGTGAATCATACTACAGTGGGTGATCGGTTAACGAACATAATCCGTTCCAAGACTTTGTTCGTTATCCGAATTGTTCGTTAACCGATTATCGATTTACCATAGGTTTCTATGGGAATTTGATTAATTCATTCTGGAGACCTCCAAAAAATATAGACTATACTTTCTTACTACGTTTACTTATATGTAATAATAAAAATACATATATACACGGTCTTGCATTTTTATTAGTCATGTTTTTTCCATTAATTAATTAAAGAATCTGTCCAATGTCGATTGCTTTTCTGTCTTCTTTATGATTTTTCAGAAGTAATTAATAGCATTGTAATTGTAGAAAACCCTAGGCCTATTAACCTCAACCTGGTTTGGATGCCATTTTAAGACCGTTGTTCTGTCAGAACAACGTCCTCCCACTTCTTTAAAAGATCTTTAATAGCAGATATTGGCATAAATCCGCATTTTCATAAGAAAATGTAAAAGAATTGTTTCTGTCAGAAATATAAAAAGCTGGAATTACAAGGGAGAGTTTCAAAGTTTGGGAGAATACTATCCTATCAGTATATACTGGGTAGAATGTTGATGTTGACGTCTCCCGCGCTCCGAAAAGTTTTGAATTGTTGCCTGAAGACAAAGGAAGACCAATTGGTATTCGTTATTTTACATCTCTTCTTTTTGTGTTTGTTCAGTCAAGTGTTCGTTATCCGAACATGTGTTCGTTGTCCGATCGTAAAAATCTTTTGCGAAAGTGTTCGTTATCCGATCACCCACTGTATTATAAATTGTATTTAATATTTAATAAATATTTGAAAAATTTCAATTAGTTTTAATTATTAAGAAAAATAAAGATACAAATTATACAATAAAAAAAATAAAGATATATTTACTATCTAATCTGTTATTCATTGAATGAATGTCTTTTCCAATATAATTTCCATAACGATCAAGTGATTGGCTCATTTCTCTGCGATATCTTGAATCTCTGTACTGTTCTGGACTATAAGCAATATTTCTACAAACATCTGTTCCACGTTCACTCCTTATATTATACCTATCTTCTAAATATCCTCCATCACCCATTCCTTTATTTCCATACATATATTCATGTTCTCTCCCTCCAGAAACATCTCTATCGTATCTTCGGCTTCTTACAAGAGGAGGCACTGACATTTCTACACCTCGAATCATTGAATGACCATGATAAGGAGATTGTGATCTTTAAAAGATGAAAATATTTTCTTATTAAATTATAATATGTTATCCTATAAGCAATTTATAGAACTATTAATAACTTTCTAACCTAGTAGGTGAGGACACTTTTAATTTTTCAGATCTATTTTCATCTCTTATACCAGTTCGACTTTTATCTCTCTCCCTCTTTCGACCTCTTTCAACGCCTCTTTCTTTTTCTGGTCGATCTGATGAAGTAGTAAGATGATGTCTTGTATCTGGTTGTGTTCTTGAATCTTGGATACGATGAGTTGTTTTTCCATAAACCATTTTGTTTTGCTAAATTAATAATACTGTATATTAAAAAAAGAAATCAACAATTATAAGAATATTTTTGAAATTAAACTGTCTACAGTAGCAGCCATGAAAATTGCATCACCTATATTATATATAAAAAAACATCCAATAGATGTATAAATTAACATATTTAAGCTATAACTGCAAATTATAATGATAATATATGTAGTACAGAGAAGAATAAACTAAAAATACCATTAATTCATATGTCTTTATGTCCTTATTTTATACAGTTTATTTTATAAATGTCTACTAGGACAGATTGTATTAATAGGTCCTATTGTACTGGTGTTCGGTTTCTGCAACTGAGTAAAACTTATTCAGAGAAATTTATTCAGAAAAACTTATTCAGAGAAAAATTTATTTTCTCTGAATAAGTTTTACTCAGTTGCAGAAACCAAACACCAGTACAATAGGACCTATTAATACAATCTGTCCTAGTAGGCATTTATAAAATAAACTGTAAAAATACCATTTATTACCATTTTAAATGAGAATATTTCTTGAATTATATCACTTTATAATTAATGCCTTATTGTATATACAAACTGCAATTTATAAATTTAATTACTTAAACAAATTAGTTTTATATCAATAAAATGTTGGGGTTTAAATCTTGTCATTGTCATGCAGAACTGTATAACCCTTTTGTTCTTATATATAGGCAAAGGGTCTTAGAGAATGTCTCTTTTCTTTTACAGTTTGGAAGTACCAGTAATGTTGGAAAGAGCTGTGTAGCTACTGTATGTATGTTATATGTCTTTGTGTATACCCATATTAGTCAATTCAGTTAGATTACATAATTTTAATGGAGATCGAAGTACAGAACCCAACTTAGTATTACTAAGTTTTTAAAAACATAAAATATAGTTTCTCTTCTGAAAACATCTATGATAAAATAGAATATTCAGTAAATTATTCATATAATAAACTGAATACATTTTAAATTTATTAACAATGCTATGGAAAATGTTGAATGTAATAATGATATTTAATGATAATTTTATCTCTTTTTATACATCTGTTGCATTTATGAGCTTATCCAGCTACATCTTTTGTGTCTTCAATGGTATGTGATAATTAACATTTCACTAATTTTTGGACAATATATCATTCAAGTTAAGCTGAATATAATTTTGTTACAACATATTCATAAATTGTTACAAGTTTCCAATTTATACTTTTGACATTAATAAAAAGGTTATTAAATTATTTTTAATGAAGTTCAGATGTAACAGAAATGAATACTTTTGACATTATTTATACTTTTGACATTAATAAAAAGGTTATTAAATTATTTTTAATGAAGTTCAGATGTAACAGAAATGAATACTGTATTTTGTATAAACATGTTTCATCACATTTGAATTACTTTATACGAATATAAACTATATTATGTTCAAAAATGTATATATAATTTATTTGTTATTATACTCAATGTTATAAATGAGTTATTTGAAAAATGAAATGGTTATAGAAATTTGTTATAATAAAATTTTTCTAAATTTCAATCAAATAATATAATCAAGTAACATGATGAACCTTCATTATTTTTGTCGTCAACCCTTACTGATTAACATAAGCAATTATTAAATTATAAACATTTACATGTAAACAATCAACCCCAAATTAAAAATATGACACTTAGCAGTGAGATAAAAAAGTTCCTGTGTCAAAAATGTCACAAGATTAAGCAATAACAAAATTTTAATTATTTAAATGATAAAATTTAATAAAAGAATAATTTTAACAACATTTGAGATTTAAAAAAGACTAATTAAATATTGTCTTAAGTTTTTATTTAACAGAAAATCTTTAAATAAAATTGAATGTTAAAAAATGAAGTAAAATAAAATTAATAGGAGTTAAGAATATTTGTAATAAATTCAGAAAGATGCAATACCAATAAGTTAAAAGTCAGAAATTAAAGTTTGAGATGTTTAAATAATAACAATATATTCAAAATTTATACAATTATCTAACAAAAAACAGAACATTAACCTAGATGAAATTATAATCTAATTTATTAACAAAAATAATTTTAATAAAAATTTTGAACTTATCAATATGATATATTTTATTTTTTTAATATTGAAAATAACTACCTCCTCATTATTCCAGTATTCATTTACATTATTAGATCTGTATTTAGTTGTATTTTTAAAGTCCTTATTATTTCCTTTTGTTTTTCTAATTTCAGGAGATGGTGCTCTTTGGACTGGTTCTTTTTTATTATTATAGTTTTCAGAGAGTATTGCATCTCTAGTAGATTTACATCTACTTAGAGATTCGCTTCTAGAATTCTTTTTCCGCTGAACATCATCAACTATTCTTTTTCTTTCATGTTCTCTTGAATCTTTATCTTTCACTGGTGAAACAGAACGTCGTCTTTGCTCGGTGATATTCCTATTATTTGAATCACTAGGAAATGATTTTCTATCTGATTTATACATTGCAGGTTCTTCTAATTTTTCTTTGACTGGAATAGAATCTCTATGACTAGACAGATCTCTTTTTTTTACGGGCTGTTTCTTTCTTTCATTAATGTGTCGCAATGGTGAATGTTTATTATAGTTGTCATCAGCAGAAAATTTTTGTTCAGATCCATGCCAAAGTGAATCTTTAGATACTGGTCTTTTTTCGGATGATTTATCTCCTTCAGGTGAAGAACCAAAAGTCCTTCTACTTTCGTGTGAAGACATATTTGAAGATTTAGTAGGATGAGCTCTACTTGGAATAGCATGTACAGATGATTCACTAGACTTTGATTGAATTTTATCATTATTTACTGGTATTTTATGCTTCTTTGGATATTGAAAATATGGTGCTACAGCACTTCTATTGGGACTGCTTAAAGGTGGAGGAGTTGGAGCATGTGTACCTCTATAATTTGCCTAGAAAGAATAATTAAAATATGATATTAAAAACATACAGATAATAAATTAAGAATTTTAACAATAATAAATACTTGAGATAATGTATTTTTCAAATACTTTATAAAGTTTTTTCTATAATAATAATATTTAAGAAAAGCTTTACAATTTTTTATCAAATTTTATTGAAAAGTATATATATTTTTTACTTAATCCAGAATATTAGAGAATTTGAAAAAATATACTTTTTAAATAAACTTTGTCTTATAGCCCTATAATTTGGCAGATTGTCTGACTTTAATCAAAAATCAGGTTTGTAGAGTTGTTGTTTATATAAAATAAATTTATTTAAAGTTATTTAGATTAATGTTTTGTTTTGAATTGATGTAAAAACATCTATCTAGATATACCAAAACAAATTTAGTAATGCTATTACTTTTTTTTTTAGTTTTATTAATTGATGTTTTCAGCTAAAATATATCTGTTTTAGATATACAAAATTTCTATAATCTTATTTATGTTATTTTTCAAATTTACAGGGTGTTTCCCTCAAATCTCTATAGTTTTAAACTCTTTTGTAAGATCCATTTGTGCAGGTATATGAATGAAATGTATCAGAAAATGTTGGTCAATACTCCAAATTTCATGTGCATATGCCTGAAAGGACTATATCATTGCCACTCAGCCCAGAGTGCTGGATTAATCAAAGCAGCTCATTCTTTGGCTTGCCCAATCACTTGATATCTTGATTTTTTGGACATTTCTCTTTGGGATATGTCAAAGATTGCATATGTGCTACAAAAGTGCCAGACATGGGAGCCATGTATACTACAATCATGGATGTGACTAACAGTGTGACTTCTGACATTTTGGCCCAGACACAGTCTGAAATCAAGTACAAAGTGGATATCATAAGTCCTAAGTCATAAGCATTTAATGTATTGATTTAATGTAAGTAACTTTTTCAGATGCACTTTCTAATATTCCAGAATTAATCAACAAAACTAAGAAGGTTTGAGAAGAATAATCTGTATATATTTTATTCATATAAATATTATCATTCACAGGACTCACATAAATATTATTATTTTATGTATGTGAAGGACAATTTTTCAATGTAATGGTTTTAAATAATGTAATAGTAGGAAAAAATATAATTTTGGATAGAATATGAATTATATTTTTTATAGAACCAACAAAAATTAATTTTTTTTAATATTAAATACAGATTAATATTGAATTAATGTATATTTAATAAACATAAATAAATAAAATGTTCATTAAATAAAAAATTAAATAAAAATAAATTTTGATAACTTTAGTAATGAAATATTTAAAGTAAAATAAATAATACTGAATTAATTTATTGTTCTAATCTATAACAGCATCACTATTCTTTTTATACAATTTGTAATGAAAAATTTGGAATTATAAAGTTCAATTAAATTTCAAAAGATATCAAAAAAGTTGTTTTATATTTGAAGTTCTAATTAAGTGAAAAGAGTTTCATTTTAATTATTAATTATGAGTTTCATGTTAATTATTAATTATGAGTATCATGTTAATACAGAATAATTAAGCTTACAGAAAATATATTAAATTTACATTGTTTCATTTGTAAATATTTGATGAAAAAAGGTTTGGAATTATACAGTAAANAAAGTTATTTAGATTAATGTTTTGTTTTGAATTGATGTAAAAACATCTATCTAGATATACCAAAACAAATTTAGTAATGCTATTACTTTTTTTTTTAGTTTTATTAATTGATGTTTTCAGCTAAAATATATCTGTTTTAGATATACAAAATTTCTATAATCTTATTTATGTTATTTTTCAAATTTACAGGGTGTTTCCCTCAAATCTCTATAGTTTTAAACTCTTTTGTAAGATCCATTTGTGCAGGTATATGAATGAAATGTATCAGAAAATGTTGGTCAATACTCCAAATTTCATGTGCATATGCCTGAAAGGACTATATCATTGCCACTCAGCCCAGAGTGCTGGATTAATCAAAGCAGCTCATTCTTTGGCTTGCCCAATCACTTGATATCTTGATTTTTTGGACATTTCTCTTTGGGATATGTCAAAGATTGCATATGTGCTACAAAAGTGCCAGACATGGGAGCCATGTATACTACAATCATGGATGTGACTAACAGTGTGACTTCTGACATGTTGGCCCAGACACAGTCTGAAATCAAGTACAAAGTGGATATCATAAGTCCTAAGTCATAAGCATTTAATGTATTGATTTAATGTAAGTAACTTTTTCAGATGCACTTTCTAATATTCCAGAATTAATCAACAAAACTAAGAAGGTTTGAGAAGAATACTAAATTTCAATCAAATAATATAATCAAGTAACATGATGAACCTTCATTATTTTTGTCGTCAACCCTTACTGATTAACATAAGCAATTATTAAATTATAAACATTTACATGTAAACAATCAACCCCAAATTAAAAATATGACACTTAGCAGTGAGATAAAAAAGTTCCTGTGTCAAAAATGTCACAAGATTAAGCAATAACAAAATTTTAATTATTTAAATGATAAAATTTAATAAAAGAATAATTTTAACAACATTTGAGATTTAAAAAAGACTAATTAAATATTGTCTTAAGTTTTTATTTAACAGAAATTTTACAATCTTTAAATAAAATTGAATGTTAAAAAATGAAGTAAAATAAAATTAATAGGAGTTAAGAATATTTGTAATAAATTCAGAAAGATGCAATACCAATAAGTTAAAAGTCAGAAATTAAAGTTTGAGATGTTTAAATAATAACAATATATTCAAAATTTATACAATTATCTAACAAAAAACAGAACATTAACCTAGATGAAATTATAATCTAATTTATTAACAAAAATAATTTTAATAAAAATTTTGAACTTATCAATATGATATATTTTATTTTTTTAATATTGAAAATAACTACCTCCTCATTATTCCAGTATTCATTTACATTATTAGATCTGTATTTAGTTGTATTTTTAAAGTCCTTATTATTTCCTTTTGTTTTTCTAATTTCAGGAGATGGTGCTCTTTGGACTGGTTCTTTTTTATTATTATAGTTTTCAGAGAGTATTGCATCTCTAGTAGATTTACATCTACTTAGAGATTCGCTTCTAGAATTCTTTTTCCGCTGAACATCATCAACTATTCTTTTTCTTTCATGTTCTCTTGAATCTTTATCTTTCACTGGTGAAACAGAACGTCGTCTTTGCTCGGTGATATTCCTATTATTTGAATCACTAGGAAATGATTTTCTATCTGATTTATACATTGCAGGTTCTTCTAATTTTTCTTTGACTGGAATAGAATCTCTATGACTAGACAGATCTCTTTTTTTTACGGGCTGTTTCTTTCTTTCATTAATGTGTCGCAATGGTGAATGTTTATTATAGTTGTCATCAGCAGAAAATTTTTGTTCAGATCCATGCCAAAGTGAATCTTTAGATACTGGTCTTTTTTCGGATGATTTATCTCCTTCAGGTGAAGAACCAAAAGTCCTTCTACTTTCGTGTGAAGACATATTTGAAGATTTAGTAGGATGAGCTCTACTTGGAATAGCATGTACAGATGATTCACTAGACTTTGATTGAATTTTATCATTATTTACTGGTATTTTATGCTTCTTTGGATATTGAAAATATGGTGCTACAGCACTTCTATTGGGACTGCTTAAAGGTGGAGGAGTTGGAGCATGTGTACCTCTATAATTTGCCTAGAAAGAATAATTAAAATATGATATTAAAAACATACAGATAATAAATTAAGAATTTTAACAATAATAAATACTTGAGATAATGTATTTTTCAAATACTTTATAAAGTTTTTTCTATAATAATAATATTTAAGAAAAGCTTTACAATTTTTTATCAAATTTTATTGAAAAGTATATATATTTTTTACTTAATCCAGAATATTAGAGAATTTGAAAAAATATACTTTTTAAATAAACTTTGTCTTATAGCCCTATAATTTGGCAGATTGTCTGACTTTAATCAAAAATCAGGTTTGTAGAGTTGTTGTTTATATAAAATAAATTTATTTAAAGTTATTTAGATTAATGTTTTGTTTTGAATTGATGTAAAAACATCTATCTAGATATACCAAAACAAATTTAGTAATGCTATTACTTTTTTTTTTAGTTTTATTAATTGATGTTTTCAGCTAAAATATATCTGTTTTAGATATACAAAATTTCTATAATCTTATTTATGTTATTTTTCAAATTTACAGGGTGTTTCCCTCAAATCTCTATAGTTTTAAACTCTTTTGTAAGATCCATTTGTGCAGGTATATGAATGAAATGTATCAGAAAATGTTGGTCAATACTCCAAATTTCATGTGCATATGCCTGAAAGGACTATATCATTGCCACTCAGCCCAGAGTGCTGGATTAATCAAAGCAGCTCATTCTTTGGCTTGCCCAATCACTTGATATCTTGATTTTTTGGACATTTCTCTTTGGGATATGTCAAAGATTGCATATGTGCTACAAAAGTGCCAGACATGGGAGCCATGTATACTACAATCATGGATGTGACTAACAGTGTGACTTCTGACATTTTGGCCCAGACACAGTCTGAAATCAAGTACAAAGTGGATATCATAAGTCCTAAGTCATAAGCATTTAATGTATTGATTTAATGTAAGTAACTTTTTCAGATGCACTTTCTAATATTCCAGAATTAATCAACAAAACTAAGAAGGTTTGAGAAGAATAATCTGTATATATTTTATTCATATAAATATTATCATTCACAGGACTCACATAAATATTATTATTTTATGTATGTGAAGGACAATTTTTCAATGTAATGGTTTTAAATAATGTAATAGTAGGAAAAAATATAATTTTGGATAGAATATGAATTATATTTTTTATAGAACCAACAAAAATTAATTTTTTTTAATATTAAATACAGATTAATATTGAATTAATGTATATTTAATAAACATAAATAAATAAAATGTTCATTAAATAAAAAATTAAATAAAAATAAATTTTGATAACTTTAGTAATGAAATATTTAAAGTAAAATAAATAATACTGAATTAATTTATTGTTCTAATCTATAACAGCATCACTATTCTTTTTATACAATTTGTAATGAAAAATTTGGAATTATAAAGTTCAATTAAATTTCAAAAGATATCAAAAAAGTTGTTTTATATTTGAAGTTCTAATTAAGTGAAAAGAGTTTCATTTTAATTATTAATTATGAGTTTCATGTTAATTATTAATTATGAGTATCATGTTAATACAGAATAATTAAGCTTACAGAAAATATATTAAATTTACATTGTTTCATTTGTAAATATTTGATGAAAAAAGGTTTGGAATTATACAGTAAAAAGCTATTTATATTTTGTTTGAACACCTTATGGTTTTCACATAGTTTAAATTCTTCTTGATATTGATTCTATAAATGTTTTTGCATATATTGATTTCAATTTTATACCAAGAATTCAGTGTGAATTATTTAAACTCATTTTTATTTATTTCATGTTAGTGACTGGCAAACTCCTTGATGCACATCATAAATTTTGATAAAATTACTGGATCTACCAAATATTCACATAAAGAGTCTTGATTTAAATTTATTTCTCATAAAAATGACTTTATTGCTCAATTCTATAACATAACGTACATCAACCTGCCCATAATCTACTCAGGTCTAAATTGATTCTCAAATACTGGAAAACATCAATATTTCCAGAAACTAATTCAAATAATAGTATTCTTATAAACCTTTTTACTCATTCATTCACATTTGTTTTGGTATACTCTGAAATATTTTTTATTATAAAATGAAAATTTATAATACTTTGTACTTACTTCATCTTTTGAAATTAAATCTCTTCTTTTTTTATGTCTCTTACTTCTTGATCTAATACCTTTATTTTCTAAACTTGAATTTAATGTCCTACAAATAAAAATTACTCAATAATTTAAAATATTTCAGTACAATATCATTTTGTTAATTTAAAACTTTATACATTTTACTAAATTCTACAATGAGCAATACAAAACCTTCCTCACTTATTTCTAGCTGTTTATACACGAATACTAACGTTTTCGGCCTTCTTAATAGGCCTTCTTCAGGTACACTGTGATCTGTTAGAGTGTCGGTTGGTAGAAGTTTAAACACTGCCAATGTTTACCTAGGCATTGTCTTNCAATACAAAACCTTCCTCACTTATTTCTAGCTGTTTATACACGAATACTAACGTTTTCGGCCTTCTTAATAGGCCTTCTTCAGGTACACTGTGATCTGTTAGAGTGTCGGTTGGTAGAAGTTTAAACACTGCCAATGTTTACCTAGGCATTGTCTTACCAGTGACGTCATCATTGATGATAGGTATAGACGATACTGAGGGCGAAAAATTCTTTATTTTGGTAAAAAAAGAAAGGTGTGCAGATAGTACATGATGGGATAATCGCTAAAGTTGGGGAATAAATTGTAAAGTAAGCGCGCTACGTAAAGAAGATGCACTATCACGATAGGGGGTAAATGAGGAGTGACGTCATAGTTGACACCGTAAATAGTTAACTTTACATTAAGAAGAGGCGTGTGAATGACCATAAATGGGAAGGGGCTACGTTTGGAAAGCAGAATTGGAAAACAAACGCGACAAGAGTGCAAATGGTTGCATGTGGCGAGGGTGGGTTGGTCGATTGAGGAAGGTTTCGTATTGATCATCTTAAAATAGTTCTAGCTACAAATGCATAGAAGACTAAATTCTACAACTTTTATAACAGCTCAAATAAATTTGAGAGCAAGATTTTTGGCTATTATATATCAGCTGCCTCTCTTTAAAATAAATTTTCAAAAAGTTTGACATATTTATGATTTAATGATGAACCATTTATAATGTTACAATGTTATATGTTAAATAATTAAAATTTTACAATAAAACTAAATAAAATATGATTTAAATGAAAAATTTTCAGAACTTTGTGTTTCTAAAATTATCTATAATATTTTTTATATTACTTACATATACAATATGATTACTGATAATGAAAATAAAAAGTAAAAAATTAAATATAAGATTATAAACCAAAAATATTTATTGCTATTTATCTTGAATATGTTCTACTGTAAAATATGAATATAATAATAACAAATAACAATAATAAATAAAACAAGACAAACAATATGCAAGACTTTAAATCAGAAATTAGAATTATAAGAATGATCAATGAGTAGAACATTAAAAGTTCAATAACTATTAAATATTTATGATAATAGATTGTAAAGTTTTTTAATTTCCCTAAAGAGAAGCAGAAGTCAAAATCAATTAACACAACAGGAAAAGTCTACAATAAGCATTATGACAAATAATAGACTCATCCTCTCCCACAGTAAATACGGGCAGAGTGCATTCATAAACAGGATGAGTTACTCAACTGTACTACTTATCCATACACTAATTAAGTAATTTTTTATTATTTTATCAATAAAAAAATGAGACAAACTAATATAAAACAAACTATTAATATATACTGTAAATCATTTGTGTCAGAAACAATAGATTATAAAGTATTACCTACAATAATTTGTAAAAAAAAGTTATATGAATAAACTTTACATCAAATTTAGACTTTCTTAAACCAAGGACTACACTTTGCTTCACACTTAAGTTCACTTAAAAACATAAAAGTCATTACAATTTGTCCATTCTCATATAACAGAACAACAAAATTGTTCCTGTGAAGAAAACTGTTGTTCTTGTAATGTGAAAATGGATGAATTGGTAAAACATTTTATGTACCTTTAAGTGAATTTTATGTGAACTTTTAAACAAATTCATTATCCAGGTTTTAAATAATTAATCAAGAACTATACTTTAGTATAATTTAAAATAAAGTGCCATATTCCTAATTCTCATATTTATAACAACAAAATAAAACTTTAATGTTAAAACAATACAGTTCTTAAAAATAATAAAATAAGTCACCATTTTACATTCTATTACAAATAACTGTTAAAAATAACTGATAAAAAATTATAAATATTGTAACTATCTATACTAATATTATAAAGAGGTAAAGTTTGGACGTAATCTCTGAAACTACCCAACCGATTTCAAAAATTCTTTCGCCAATATTTAGAATGGACTTTCAGGGTGGACATAGGCTGTATATTATTCCATTAAACATTAATATAAATTAAAAGATATCATCTAGCTAAGCGTTATATTTTTGGTGTCAGCAGGTGGTGAGGGGCAAGACACATATGTATATGAGATAGGTAACCGCATGGTGCAGTCACGTGGTCGGCGAGATACACAGTGCACATGTCCGAACTTGATATGTGTATATTGATTTTTACTGATACTGTTATAGTCACAAACGGAATTCCATATGGACGAAACCATGGACACAGCTAATATATTAAAAATAACAATATTTAAAGCAATATAGGTAGTCCCCCACTTACAACAGAGTTCCATTCCAAGACTGCTATCATAAAATCAAATTAGTTGCAAATCAAACATAAAAAATAATTGTAATAATGGGAACAATTCCAAAGCCTATAGTAATGTATATGTACTGTACATATAATCAGGTACTGTGTGTACATATCATAACTGATAGCTGCTGTATGTATCATATAGCAATGCAATTTAGATATATTACACTTCAAACCAACATTTAATATTTGAATTAATTAATTATATTTTATTTACAAACATACAGGTAATCAACAAAGTTCGAAGGAATCAAAAATCATATTATAGTACTGAGCAATACAAAACCTTCCTCACTTATTTCTAGCTGTTTATACACGAATACTAACGTTTTCGGCCTTCTTAATAGGCCTTCTTCAGGTACACTGTGATCTGTTAGAGTGTCGGTTGGTAGAAGTTTAAACACTGCCAATGTTTACCTAGGCATTGCCTTACCANCCTGAAGCAGTTTGTAGAAAGCTATATTTTTTGTTTTTCAATACTAATGGCACCAACCAAAATTATAATGAGCAATTATTTATTGTGACATTGTCACAATGCCAGGCTGCAATTTTTAATCACATTCTTAATTTATTCAATTTAAAATACAGTGGGCGATCGGTTAACGAACAAATCAAATAACAAACACTTTCGCAAAAGATTTTTATATTTGGACAATGAACACCTCACAGAACAAACAAAAGAAGAAGCAACGTAAACTAATAAATACCGACTGGTCTTCCCTTGTCTTCAAGCAACAATTCAAAACTTTTCGGAGCACAGGAGGCATCAACATCGACCTCAAACCCAGTATATACTGATCGGATAGTATTCCTCCGAACTTTGAAAACCCCCTTTTGAAACTCCCTTGTATTTCCAACCTTTTATTTTTCTGAGAGAAACAATTCTTTTATAGTATTCACGAGACTGTCAAGTGGGCACTCGTAAAGTTTTGCATCAGTTTTTATTTTCGAAAGGTGAGAGTATAATAGCAAAGGTAGAGAGGGAGCAGAAGACATCTGATGTTACTGGCAATATGGCTTGAACAGGTCTACAGTAGGCCACAGTTCAATCTTATCTAACAAAGATACAGTATAATCAAGAAGACTCAGCAGAATCAAGAAGCAGCAGCTTAAGGAGTAACAAAAATCACATCTGAGAAATAAAGAACATTGAAGAGCTCATAATGGAACCTGAAACAAATCTGATGACAGATGAACGTCAAGAACTCTTGAATGAAGAACACCAAGAAATTTGGCAAGATATGTTTTCTTCTGAAAAAGAGGATTAATGTTTTGAAGTAGGAGGATGTCAGAACAACGATCTTAGAATTGCATCCAAACCAGGTTGAGGTTAATAGGCTTGGGAATCTCTACAGTTACAATGCTATTATTATTTCTGAAAAAACCTAAAGAGAGAAAAGCAATCGACATTAGACAGATTCTTTAACCCCCACAAATGGAAAAAACCGGACTAATAAAAATGCAAGACTGTGTATATATGTATTTTTATTATTACATATAAATAAATGTAGTAAGAAAGTATATATATTTTTTATTTTTTGAAGTCTCCAGAATGAATTCATCAAATTCCCATAAAAACCTATAGTAAATCGATAATCGGTTAACAAATAATTTGGATAGAGAACAAAGTCTTGGAATGGATTAGGTTCGTTAACCGATCACCTACTGTATATGTTCTCCATCTCAAATTAGTAGTGTCTTGCCCCTGTACATCATACTTTTCTTGATAACAACAGTCATGCCAGTCATCTATGTAACTCCTTTCAGGAAAAAATTTTTGAATTGAAATCATGTGACTTCTGGTTTATACCAGAAGTTAATGTATAGTTAAGAAGAATGCAATCATTTCAAATTTGTATATGCATTCTTGAAAGATCAGCATCAACAAGACTTGGCATCTTTTTCAAATTTTTGTATTATTTTAAGTGTTTTTTAAAATACTAAATATTTGCAATGAATGATGTCAAAAATAAATAATGATATTAATTCTCTTTTAAATAAGATTTATCTTCACATTAAAACATAAAAAGCAAATAGCACAAACATATTAATACAGTTTTAATTTCAACTGTAAGGTTTTTAGACAAGTTTAGTGCTATTAACCTATCCTGTGTAATTCCCAACATATATCGGGTTGTGACCTTTGACCCGCAGGGTTAAACCCGATATATCTCATTACAGTATTGGTACGTTTTTGATACTAGATGTCGCTATGCATCATAATTTTTATATTAAAACAAACTTTCAAAATATAATTTATTTTATTTTTATATTTTTCAATATATTTATTTTGTTTGTGCAAAATAAAAAAATAATTTTTAATGATACAGTAACCATGATTGTTATTTTAAAAAAAATTTTTTCGTCAGGCTTAACATAGACAAAAATTCAACATGGTGGCCACACGCAACGGAGAAAAATTTCAACATGGGATAGGTTAAGCTTTAGCTTTTCATTTTGTTCAAGTTTTTTCTTCCATTTTAATTGTTATTCATTCCTAAAATCTAAATTTTCTAATTGTTTTGTTCTTTTTCAGAATGATAATAGTTTTTGCAACATTCTAACAATAAAAAACATTGAAATTAGGAATTTTGTTTTATAAGTTTTATTTTTTTTTAATATTATAATTATTATTCATTTAAATAAATAGGCAGTGAAATGAGTTAAAAGCATTAAAAATTTGTAAAGTATTTTCAACAGACAATATAGTTTACTTGTAAGCTAGCATCATTGTTCGTTTATGACTTGACAAATTTTGAAAGATGCCATGTTTTAAATGTCCTGTTCTTTCAAGAATTTTACTTTATAAAAGTTTTTAAAACAAAAATTTATAATTATTTATCTCATATAATTAAGAATAGTAAACAATATTTTATGCTATTTAAAAATTTTTTAGATACTTTTGTCTTGACTTTCGTCCATCACTTGGACTAGGAGTTCTCGGTCCTTTAGATCTATTCAATGAACTGGAATCTTCTTCATTACCATGATAATCATTCCTTTTATTGTTTCCATCACCATGGTTACCAGAATGTTTTGGAGAAAATGATTTTAATTCACTTTTATCTTTTTGTCGTCTTCTGTTTTGTGATTCGGGGCTTGAATTCGATACATGACTTGTATGAAGTCTGCTACCTCTATTTACAGATTGTTCTTTTTCTTTGAATTTCATATTATTTTTTATATCATGATACTTATCTCCTGTATTTTCTCTGTTTGATTGTTTTTTAGTCCTTACTGGAGTTGATGATTCACTGGAAGAGGATGATGAGGAAGAACTATCATCACTATCACCACTACTGCTACTGGAAGAATCGCTGCTACTACTTTCACTATCGCTATCGCTACTACTGCTACTGCTTCCACTAACAGATACCTATTAATTGAAACAAAAATAAAATTATTATTATATATAAATACAATCACAAGTATTTTTAAGTTATATTAAAAAATTCCTAAATCAAAACTATTCACAATAATTGCAACATACTTGACTAATTTTATAAATTGAGTCATAATCCCTTATATCAAAATAAAAATGTTATTAATATTAATAAAAAAAAACTACTGAGTATTGTTTATATGTTATGAAATTTTTATTAGATAGAAAATTATAAACATAATAGAAAAATTAAATTTATTTAATGTTATTAAAATTAAACAACTCTAAAACATCAAAAATTAAAAAATTAATATGACATTTATAAATTGTGAATTGTGAGCTCACATTAATTTGCTGATATTAATTGTTCCTGTTATAACAGTAATACTGAAATATTTTATTGCTTGTTCAAATATCTTAAGAAATATTAATATACTGCATTTTTTACAATTATTGCATCATTTCATATCATATAAGATTCATAATTTTAATTCTCAGTTTACCACATTTATTTATTGGGTTGTTTGGAAAGTAATTTTGTTTTTTTTTTTTTTTGTGTGGAAAACAAAAAAATTTTCTTATACAGCAATACCTCGACTTACATGAACCCGGAGTTACATGATTTTCAAATCTCATCAATTCATCTTTTGTTTGAGTGTTACGCAACTCTTGATTACTCACTCCCCCACACTATTGTTCACCTTACATGTTCGGACATGTCGCATGGAATCGACACATAGCTACAATTTATTTTGTGTTATTTATTTTTGTGTTTGTTATATCTACGGAGACTTGAGAGACTATGTGATGATTTCTTGTAACCATGAACGACTCAAAAGATGAGATAAGATTAACGAGAACATTTATTAGCTTACATACAACCAACTTAGATTTTACACAAATTGCAAAATTATACCCCGACTTACGCGGTTATCGCTTCGTCCCACCTATCGCGTAAGTTTGAGGTATTACTGTAATACAATATATAAATATTTTATTGAATTATATATTGACTATTTTGGTCCAATATCTTTTGCCATCTTTCTGGTAGTAGCATGGGTTCCATGCTCATAAAAGTTCTGATTTTTGCTTACAAAAAACTGATTCATTTTGACATCTTCATTTGAGATAAATGTTTTACCATTTAAAAAATTTTGTAAAGACTGGAACAAGTAATAATCCAAGAGTGCCAGATCTGATGAATATGGTGGTTGTGGTAATACATCCCATCCGAGCTGTAACAGCTTCTGAAGAGTTACCAAACTTCTGTGAGGTCTGGCATTTATGGTCGGTACTTTTGGACATATAATAATTAATAATTTAATTTTTTCAGGTAATTGTATAATTCATTTTGTTCTATATTATTATATTGTATGTTTTGTGTGTGTCGACCAATCACTGCCATTTTTTGTGTTTATTTGTTATTTCTTTTGTAGTTATAATTATTATTGTTGTCACTTATGCTTGTTATTGAGATTAACTTTGTATTATTCCTTTTGTGTTTAACAGGCTAATTGTTACGTGCTTATTGTGAATGATAATGTATTTTGATTTAATATTGATATTAACAATTGTAATATTTTTTGTGTTTGGTTTTAATATGCCTGTACATACAGGGTTTCCCTTGTACTATTAAAATAAAATAATAAATAAAATATCAAAATTGCTGGAGAAAATTTTGCGAACCAGTTTTGGCATTGTTGTTCTGTAAACGCATCTCCGTACATGTCACACAATTTTGTTTTTGCTTGAACAGTATTCTTACCTTTTCGGTAATAAAAAAGGAAAATATGCCGAAAATGCTGCTTTTGCTCTTCCACATTTGATAGGACACCAAAAAATAATCNTATAAACATAATAGAAAAATTAAATTTATTTAATGTTATTAAAATTAAACAACTCTAAAACATCAAAAATTAAAAAATTAATATGACATTTATAAATTGTGAATTGTGAGCTCACATTAATTTGCTGATATTAATTGTTCCTGTTATAACAGTAATACTGAAATATTTTATTGCTTGTTCAAATATCTTAAGAAATATTAATATACTGCATTTTTTACAATTATTGCATCATTTCATATCATATAAGATTCATAATTTTAATTCTCAGTTTACCACATTTATTTATTGGGTTGTTTGGAAAGTAATTTTTTTTTTTTTTTGTGTGGAAAACAAAAAAATTTTCTTATACAGCAATACCTCGACTTACATGAACCCGGAGTTACATGATTTTCAAATCTCATCAATTCATCTTTTGTTTGAGTGTCACGCAACTCTTGATTACTCACTCCCCCACACTATTGTTCAGCTTACATGTTCGGACATGTCGCATGGAATCGACACATAGCTACAATTTATTTTGTGTTATTTATTTTTGTGTTTGTTATATCTACGGAGACTTGAGAGACTATGTGATGATTTCTTGTAACCATGAACGACTCAAAAGATGAGATAAGATTAACGAGAACATTTATTAGCTTACATACAACCAACTTAGATTTTACACAAATTGCAAAATTATACCCCGACTTACGCGGTTATCGCTTCGTCCCACCTATCGCGTAAATTTGAGGTATTACTGTAATACAATATATAAATATTTTATTGAATTATATATTGACTATTTTGGTCCAATATCTTTTGCCATCTTTCTGGTAGTAGCATGGGTTCCATGCTCATAAAAGTTCTGATTTTTGCTTACAAAAAACTGATTCATTTTGACATCTTCATTTGAGATAAATGTTTTACCATTTAAAAAATTTTGTAAAGACTGGAACAAGTAATAATCCAAGAGTGCCAGATCTGATGAATATGGTGGTTGTGGTAATACATCCCATCCGAGCTGTAACAGCTTCTGAAGAGTTACCAAACTTCTGTGAGGTCTGGCATTTATGGTCAGTACTTTTGGACATATAATAATTAATAATTTAATTTTTTCAGGTAATTGTATAATTCATTTTGTTCTATATTATTATATTGTATGTTTTGTGTGTGTCGACCAATCACTGCCATTTTTTGTGTTTATTTGTTATTTCTTTTGTAGTTATAATTATTATTGTCGTCACTTATGCTTGTTATTGAGATTAACTTTGTATTATTCCTTTTGTGTTTAACAGGCTAATTGTTACGTGCTTATTGTGAATGATAATGTATTTTGATTTAATATTGATATTAACAATTGTAATATTTTTTGTGTTTGGTTTTAATATGCCTGTACATACAGGGTTTCCCTTGTACTATTAAAATAAAATAATAAATAAAATATCAAAATTGCTGGAGAAAATTTTGCGAACCAGTTTTGGCATTGTTGTTCTGTAAACGCATCTCCGTACATGTCACACAATTTTGTTTTTGCTTGAACAGTATTCTTATATTTCGGTAATAAAAAAGCAAAATATGCCAAAAATGCAGCTTTCAATTTTCCATACTTTATAAAAAAATAATTGCAAAGAACAAAACAAAATTTTTTACAAATAAGCCTTGAAATGCCAGCTGTCAAAATATATAATGGCAATATGATTTAGAATGAAGTGGGCAGGTAAAAATACATCTAATTTTTTTACCACCTCTGGTCATAAAAAAACAAAATTACTTTCCGAACAACCCATTATTATTATAGTCAAATTTAATTGATTCGAACATGATTAATTAAAATTATTGGATAAAATAAATTATATTATTATCCTTGAAATCTATATTTAAATTAGTTTTAAAAACAAAGATATGATTAATTTAAATATTTTTCACAATAAGTTTGGATGACTTTTAGCTAATATATCTCATCTTTTGAAAAGTTTTTGAAGAGAAAAAGAGAAAGTAGCAGGTGGTCAACTGATTTATAGAATGCATGCATTTCAATGTGCCATTTCAATATAAGTGCTTATACTGATTAATATACTGTATTTAGTCAATTCTAAGTTGCACTTTTTTTTGTTTTTGCCATTTTAATGTCCTAGAAAATTGGGTGTGGCTTATATTCAAAGGTGGCTAAATTTTACTACAGATGAAACCCTTGTACTTTGATATGCCACATAATTATACAGTAACTTCAAAGAGTGAGTAAGAGGTTAGAGTACAGATTACAGAAGATTAAGAGTACAGGATACAAAAAACAATGTATCATTGTATTGCTGTGTATCATAGCAGACAGCCAGAAATTAGCTTCCTACTTGATTCTGAACAGAAAACTAGTGTCCAAAATGAAAAAATTTCCCAAAGATGTAATTGTGCATGCCCAAAAAATGGTTGAATGACCACCAAGATTATGAATGACTGGGTTAATTAAGTGTGGAATATAAAACCAGAAGTGCTTCAAAATCCTCAAAACATGCTTGTCATGACAAATTTAAAGAATATTTAACAGACTCTTTAAAAAAATAAATTGATACAAAAAAATTGTGAATTGTGATAATCCTGGTTGATATGACGAGCCAAGTTCAGTTATTCAATGTTTGCATTTACAAGCCTTTCAAGGGTTAAATAAGAAAATAATATGAAAATTGGTTACATTTGGAAAACCACTCTAACCGCTTGTGGAAAAATAAAAAAGGTAAGTGCTTCAAAAATTGCAGAATGATTATCTGTTGCCTGGAAAAAAGTTCCCAGTGAAATAATAATTCATTCCTATAAAAAATTCTGCATAATTGTAATAGATAACACAGAAGATGACTTAGTTTGGGAAAATAATGATGCCAACACTGGTTCCAAAGTCAGCTGTGATAGTGCAACTGATGAATCATTTTACAATATGATAATGATAGTGAGAGCATTAAGATTTACTTTAGATTACGTATTTAAGATTTTTTAATAAATTAATTCTTCACTCCTTGTTACTTCACATTTTTTTTAACTTTGTAAATAAATCTTACTATTGGTATTTTTTATTTTTTCACAAAAACCTGTTAAAAAATTGAGGGGCTGCTTAGAATCGAATAAATACAGTAGTTGAATTTGTGTATTGTAATAATTCTGGGACTAACCTATACTGATAACAATAACCAATAACATTATATGAAGTATATAAATAAGGGTTTATTAGTGAATATTCTAGTATTAATGGAAATACTATTCGTCCAGTGTTGTTTTGCACTAGCATCTTTAGCATCAGCTAGTACATAATTAAAGTAAGAAATACCAGTATATTAACTACTGTTTAACAATTGAATAATGATTAAAATGTTGTATAAGGAAATCACTGAAATGCATACATTCTATGAATCAATTGAAATGTGCAAATTTCTCTCTTCATGTTTAATTTTCAAAATATGAGATACGAGAACATTAAATTAACCAATTTTTTAAACACTAATTTAAATATAGATTTTAAAGGAAATAATAGCTGTTTTGAATAATGCAATAATTTCAATTAATCAGATTTGACTCTGTAAGTAATGCATTTAAAATTTATAAATTATAAAATCTGATTTATTATACAAATAATAACTGGGTAATCTATCATAAATAACTGTTTATTTTGTAAAATTTTTTAAATAATTAATAAATGAAAACCAAACAAAAAGAAACAGGCAAAAAGATAAGTAAAAGCTAAAACTTGAGCAAAAATATTTAACAAAACCTGAATACTAATATATTGAAAGATACATTTCACTTTACAATACATACATGTAAGAAAATCAAGTGCAACAGAATTGCATTAGATATTTAATGTCTAAAATCTTTAAAAAGAAAAAAAGAAAAATTTTGGTTAAAAAAATGAAATTTTGAAACTGTATTTCCAAATGAAGATAAAATTACTGGCAATACATTACTTATATGTAAATTACAATATTTTTTATCATCAGTTGAAAAAATAAATTTATATTCAAGAAACATTCATCATAAATGCATTGATAAAAAGTTAAAAAATATTACAATGTTAGCATAATACTGCAAAAAGTTGATGTTTTTGCTTCATATAAACTGATGGTCAAACAAAAAGACTTCTTTTTAAATTCATTCTAAACAATTTATTACAGTCTCATGATAAAGAGGTATCATGCAACTGTTAAAACAGCAATGCAACTAACATGAAAAAATAAAGTATTTTAGAAATTTTTTATGAATAAGATCATATAAGTTTAGTAGAATTTTAAAACATTAAAATCAGACTACAGTATTAACTCTTCTATAAAATAAATCTTATACAGCAATATTCTCTAATTATTTTATCCTGTATAATAATAATAATTTGAAAAAATTCAAATAAGCTTTCAAAAGATATTATGACAAAATAATAAGTTTGAATGAATAAAGTACAGGAAATCCTTGTTAGTTTGAAATTTAAAATACAAAATAATCATGACTTTAAATTATTGAGTTTCAAATTATCAAAGATTTACATATACTGTATATTTAGATTTGCCAAATACCACATAACTGAAGTAATTTAATCAGCAAATGGAATGTGGCTATGTATACAAAATGCTATTTTCGTTAATTAATAATAACAATAATATAAATAAACTGCATATTTCTGGTGAAACCTCACAGGTTCCCAGATAGCTTTATAAAAACCAGCAAAGAATTGATTAACTTTCCCAGCAACATTTGGAGGCATCATCTGTTATGATATTTTATTAGAAAATTTTTTATATTTTTGATCATTATAAAATGGCAAAATGCTTAATTTTGGGGTTAGGAGTGGATTTTATAAATTGTAAATGCTAATAACAAGTAAAATCATTATTAAGTCCAATCCTACTTGAGATATGACATGACCCCCTTTATCTCCCCACTCCATCAACCTTTAACCTTTAATAGCATCAATCCTCCTAATACACAAACCTCCCTGTAAAATTTAAGAAAATTTCAACAAAAAGCACAGGAATTATTAAGCTTCAAAGAGGGTGAACAAAATTTTGCCTCCCTCCCCACACACACTAACATCTATACATACAGAAAAAAACACCAGAAATTTTTTACATTTCTTGACATTTCAAGGTCCCAAGTCCAAAAATGTAAAATCTTGGGAGTCGTTTTTTGACTGATTGCCATACTTTCCCTCTGTTATGTATAACAGCCAGAAAAGTAAAAAATAAAGCAGAATTTCTCAAAATATAGCCCAAATTATTTTAAAAGTAGCCCTAAAAGCAGTAAGTTGCCCAAATCTAGTAGACTAGAGTCCTACAAATATCTCAATCTGCTACTTGTAGTTCAATCTTACAATCTCAAAATCCAATCATAATTTACAAGATAAAAGAAAAAAGGATAGTCCATGGGAGAAGTGAAACTTAAAAATATGTTTGTTGTAAAAGCAAAACCATGTTGATCAGATTAGAGTTATTCTTGGTTTATTGTTTTCTTATAGTATGGAAGCACTTCAATCTAAATGAACAAGTTAACATACACATATCACAGTTTGGACAGAATTTTCACTTTGAATTTCAAAGTAGCCATATTTCAAATTAATCAAATGTAAACACGTAACATGTAAATCCCTACATCCCTGGCTGGGACAAACAGTACAGTTATGAACTAATGGGTTCATAACTCAAACTACCTGAGTTCAAATTAATGAGGATTTCCTCTATCATGAAAAATTTTCACAGTAATAATGTGGGACACAAATCAAATTAATGAAAAACTTACAGATTAATTCACATTTCTGATATAATGGTCTTAAATAAATAAAACTGTGTGACTGGTTGATACAGTTTTATTTTTTTTTATATTTGATATATGTTTTTTTACTATATATACTATATTTACAATTGAAATTTATTTCCTATAAACTTAAATTATTATAATTATATAAAATTAAATAACTTTATTTTAAATAATTAGTTAATAAAAACAAACCATTATAATTCACTTACTGTTTTAGTAATAGTAACACTTTCATTAATCATGCGTTCTTTCTGTAATTCCAATTCTAGTTCTCTTTGTAATTGTTGTCTTTTACGCTCAAGTGTTAATTCTTCTTTATAATCCAATTGTGAAACATCAACAGGCCAATCTTAAAAATCATAAAAACTTTTAAATTTTATTTAAATTATTAAATTTTTAAAATGTTTTATTACAGGATGTATCATACCATCAGAATCATCTTCCCAACTACCTTCTCGAAGACGTTTCTTTTCTCTAAATTCTGTTTCACTCGTTGGAGACCGAGGTCTTGTCACAACCACGGTAGATTTTATTTTAGCATCATGATCGCTTCTCCTGTTATGACTCGAACTACGTTTATGTGGTCGTCTCTATTAAAATAAATGTTATACTTTATATTAGTAAGTAATATCAGTCACAAAATTTTATATATTTTTTTTTATAATATATATTGCTATGCATTGTAGAACTTATAAGAAATTATTTACATATGAAATATTTTTATCATCAAACTCTTATTTACTTAAAAATATCTGAATTTTAAATTAGCAAATAAGTTGTAGCAATTATTACAAATTCAAAGAACTGCAGTTTTATGGTAAATAAATATGTATATAAAATCCTTTGCAGAGATATCAAATCTAGTGACGAAGAAAGAAGAAACTTGAAAATAAAATTTCAAAGTAAAAAAAATATTTGAATAGAACAAAAACATATCAAATTTTAGCTTAATGTGTTAAAGTTAATGTCATTATATAAGAGTCAATGAAAAGTATTGATTGAATGCAAATGAAGAATATCATAACCTACAATTAATTTTTAAGCAACATTTAAATAACAAATTATTCTACAGATAATTTTAAAGTGAGAGTGTACTGTACAATGCTTATCTGCTCTAAAAATCATTCACAATTAATATAGAATTTTAAATGTACACTTTAACTTTTGTAAACATTTTTAAATATCTAAAACAATGAAGTCAGAATGAAAGAGCACATATATATGTGATTAACACCAAATTTAAGGATTGTGACTTATTTGTAATGAAAGAGATAAAAATCTTAAAATGTAAAGTATTAATATAGCACAAACTAAGAAAAAAATATAAGACTATTCCAAAATGAATTTTACAATAAGTTTAACATTAGAAATTAATAAAACAGACAAATAAAAAATAAACGGAATTTTCATTACCTCAAAAAAATTGGTGTCAAAATTATTTGGGAATAAAATAAAAGTTCAAAAAAGAAAAAAATTAAATATAGAATACAGATCACACAATGTCTTACAATCATTATCGTGTCAAATTATTTTTCCATTTTTTTAATCAGAAATAATTACAAACATAACTTTAAAGAAACAAAAAACATACAAACAAACAAGAAAACTATTGAATGCTGATTAAATAACAAAAAAAAAAAATAATAATAATAATAATAATATAAAGAAAAAAATAAATCACCATTACACAAAGAATATAATAATGAAATTTAAATACATGTGACAAATCAATTTAATCTATATGTAAAGAAACCTAACAGAATTAGTTATAAAAATAAACTACAAAAATTAAAAAATTGTTTTCATTTTATATTTGTAACATTTTGTCTGAAAAATAAATTATAGATAAATTTACTAATTTGTATAGAAAATATTTAATTTATCATTAATATTAATAAGTCAATTATATATAATAATAATGATTATAACAATGTAATGTAAAATGTTTTCTAATGATAACAATGTGATGTAAGATGTTTTCTAATGATAACAAATTGGAAATTGCCAATTACTGCTAAATATATGACAATACCAAGAGAAAAGTATATGTATAAAATCATAAAATGAATTATTCTGGCATTTGTCTGATAAAAAAAATTTTTTTAAATGGAAAAATAAATTTTGTTTATTTAAACAACATAAATCCAAGAATAAAGTTTTAATTTATTGAAAATCTTTGTCTTTTCACTTAAAATTTTGTTACTGTTTATTTCTTATGTAAAAGAAAGTTTAAAAAAACTTTTAAATCTTTATTATATTAATTAGTAAATACACAGTTTTAGAATTAACAGACTTACTTTTGGAGAAGGCAAATCTGATGAAGTTTCTTTAGTTTCTTCTCGTTTATTTCTTACTTTATGACGCAAGTCTTTCTCATCAATATCTCTAAAAATTTAGATATATTTTAAAAAATGTACCTTTACAATTCTCTTAAATGAAATCATTTCAATAAAAATTTATTCATTTATTAAGTAATATATTACTTTTCAGATTTATTTCTGGTACTACTAGGAAAAGGATCATGCTGATAACGACAATTGGATCCATATGAACAGTTACCAGTTCTTAACCAGTTTCGACATTTTTCCATCTCTCCTCTTGAGCTTCTCTGTAAGAAAAAATCATTTGACATTATTATTAAGTAACAAATTATGTACAGTACATAATATGTTGAAATATTTAATAACAGAATGTCAATATTTACTATCATTTTGTGTGAATATCTATGATAGCATACATTCCACAAAATATTACTGGAACAAAAATAAAACCTTTGCTTAACTTACATAACCATATAGTCCACACTTTTGAATATTTTCTAGTATGAAGTTAGAAGATATTGAAGGAAATATCCCTTTTACTCCTCTATTTCTTTCATCTTATTTACATTAGCATTTCATTGTAAATGTAATTACAAATAAGTGAAATGGAAAAAGGAATATTTGAGAAAGAACTACTTAAACAGCAATAAGTGTAGAAAATATAAAATGACTGCCAAACATACAATTGTTTCCACTTCATTTCTGTTTTTATTTACCAAATAATATTTATAAAAAAATGATAGTAAGTGCTGACACATTAAAAAAAATTTTAATGTCAACAATATGCATAATATGGCAGAGCCTGGAAGCATAGGATTTCTAACTTTTTGGCCAATGCAAGTCAGAAAATTATTCACAAATTAATAAAGTGATCATATCCTGTATGATTGTTTCCTGCATGAATTGCCAATACACAAATTTAATTTTTATGAAGAGTCATGTAATTGGGACTCCTCATAAGAATAGTTACAAAACCAGTTACACCCAAAATCTTTTCATTAATATTTTGACAGCATCTGAAGCAAAACACTCAGTCAGGAAAATAACAAAACTTTCAGTTCAAAAATTATCAAGAAAGAAAAAAGCAATACAATTCACAGCTAAAAAAGAACTAACAGCTACTAAATAATTTCACAGTCATATTGTTGACACCACTGAAAATACAAGTACATTATTTACTTTTACATGCAAAAATGTATATTAAAAACTAAGTTACAATCTGTAATTTTAACATAAATATGACAAAGTTATTTTATCACATGTCATTTAAAATTATATTAAAATCTGATAATTATGTTTTGACTGTCAACTTTGTCGAGTGATGAGTGATATATGTTGAGTATAAAGTGAGAGATATTTTGTTGCCAAATTGGGTCTATAGCAAAATAAGAGTGCCAGAAAGTTAAATACAGAAATGCATAGTTTTTAAAAAATATATAATTGCTTTTGACAAAACAATCTGAGAAACTTCTCACCTAATTTAAAACATTAATGACTATTGACAATTTGATAAGTAGAAGTTAATCCCTAGTGTTTGAAAAGCCACCTAGCATGGAGAGATGTCTGAGGTGGGAAGGTGATCAATGTGTTTCTTGGCAGGAATAACTGCCTGATCAGATATAGTGTAAATAAATGGTAAATAAAGCGATCATTGTTTTTACTAAGAAAGTCACACATAGTCTACAGCAGTGTTTTTCAACCTGTGGGTCACAACCCCCAGAAGGGTTGTAAAGCCTTACATGGGGGGGTCGCAGGAAAAAAAACAAAGACAAGTGTTTATAGGTTCTACACTACAATAAAAAAACTACAATTTTGCTGATAAGAATGGGCCTGTTTATTTTACAGTACAATTGATTTTTCGATCGATATTTGGGTCTCAACAGAAAGAAAATTAAATACATAGTTTTTAAAATCACTGATATAGTTTTAATATGGCCCTGGGGGGTCGCCAGAATTTTTTAACTTGTAAAGGGGTCGCATATTTAAAAAGGTTGAAAAACATTAGTCTACAGTATCCAAGAACATGAATCTGAGAGTCAATTGCTTACTTCTTATTCATCATAAAGAACTGATACAGGCTACATGCTAAAATCAATAATCAGTTTCTAAATAGTTTTCTGACAGCCAATATGTAGAAAAAGAGAAATGAAATGTATAATGAATGAGAATAAAGTAGAGAAATATACCTACTTTCTATTAAAACTTTTTTTAGTAGAGTCAAGATTCCAATACATTCTTCATTACTAAATATTGCCCTTCTGTTTGAAGGATCACCCATTAGACCTTATTATTATTCTTATTCTCTTTATCAAAAACTTACCTACTTTCAAAATATAAGTCAAATGAATATCTAATAATATCAATTAAAACATAAGAGCTCTACAGGCAAAGTGTATATGCCTTTGATTGTTTCTAGAAATATCACAATAGCAAAATGAATATTAAATGAGTTTAACACTAGAATTTCTGACCTAGGGATATCTGAAAATTTAAAAATTTTTCTTGACTTGTTTTGAGCTGTTATTCCATTATGTGATTAATATGACTAAAATCCAGATGAAATAAAACATCCACAATAATTAGAAATATATGAATAGCTCAGTGGTAAAGCATTTGTTTACTAGTCACAAGGTTTATGGTTCAAATCCATGTGCACTCTATTAAACCTTATTTGGACAGATAAATGGCCAAGACAGTAAAGATATAAGCTCCTGCTCTGGAAGTCCAGGTTCTAGTCGGAGATGAGATCCTAGGAATTTTTCATGCAGGATCAGCCCTGGATATGTTGAGTCTCTAGCATAATACTTTGATCTTTGAACAGTCCTGAGAAAAATATTTTCATTTTTGGGGAGATTTTGATTTCCACAAATGTCAACTGTCATTTTAATTGTGGGTTATGAAAAAAACACATGACATTGGGTCCGTAATAATTTTTTCAGGAAATCTAGATCTTGTTTTACTGATCAATTCTTAATTGGTAATAATGTGTTCCTCTTATTGGTCTTTAGTGAGTTTCCTTGCAACAATGTTTTAGTAAATGAAATGTATCTGCAGATCTTCTGTAAGAACAGTATAGCAAACCTGACAGAAATTCCTATCTTTTCTGCAATCATGGCAACACACTTTCAACAGTTACATCAAACAACTTCCTGCTTTAGATGCACATTTTCTTTATTTCTAGATGTGTAAACAAAGATCATCCACTGATTTCCAGCCATTTTTGAACCTCACAAACACTCAAACTCCAACAAATATGTAATTGTCTGGTTTCCACATGCTGTTCACATCATCTCTAGCATTTCCGTAGCCAATTTCTCCAACTACTGGTAGAATTTGATGTTAATTTGCTACTCATAATAATCCATCTCCACAATCCAATGAAACAACCTGAAGTAGATTCCACTGTTTGACTACTACTTCTAAAAGTCATGACTGTGGATCAATTCTGGTTGCATATAGCCCAAAAGCCACTATAGACCTTTGTCCCATACACATTGCAATGTAATTGATATTAATGATGAAATCAATTAATCTAGAAACTAAATGTAGGGGGTCTGCAATAAAATGTACTGAAATGTAATAAATATAATTTAAAAATAGAAATTTCAATAAACACATCTATCAAAGAACCTTAATTGAATTGCATTGAGAGTGAATTTGAAATAAAATTCAAATTCACCGGAATTCAATTAAGGGTCTTTGACAGATGTGTTTATTGATGAATTATTCCAGTCTCCCAACTGGTGTTAGAACTGCAGAAATGTGAAGTCCTAAGAATAAAAAATATAGCTGACATTCAGGAACCTTATTTTTCACAATAAACAAATTATACTGTCAGATTTTAATCAGACCATATGTCTATTATTAAATTCAATACATGATATTGGCTTAATTGCTCAACTTTACTCCAAATCACATATCATCTTTATAACTTATTAATCATATTATAGCCCAACTAAATTCTATCAGTATTGTACTCAGGGTTTCTTTTAGGAATGGAGTCAGGAGTATAATTTCCCCAGAGATTGAAAAATACTCCCCCCTAAACCTCATATAAACAGTTTTTAAAAACATGTAAATGATTATTTCTATGTATATACACATATTTATACATAGAAACAACATATATATATATATAAATTATTATTATACTCTCTCAGATCAGAAAAATATTTTCTGAATGAAACACTGATTGTACTATAAGTCAGGCCTGGTTTATATATACTTACTTTCACATTTTTTGAAGATGCTTTAGTAAAGTTTGGGCAAAAGGAAAGCTGTTTGATGAACACATAATTCCAAGTTAAATAGTTCATAATGGTAAGTTAAGGCAGGAGCATTATTGCAAAATGCCGCACTTGCCTTCAAAATCAATTTTAAGACAGATAAACTTGAACTTAACAGTATTACAATACACTTATGACTCAATACAATAGACAACCTATGGATCCAAATTCATCATCCAGTCTCTTCAGATTCTGCTGCTTTTATTTCATCTTATTCTAGGATACTGAGTTAAACTGGCAGTTAATGCATAGTTCAAAATCAAATGTCTCAATTTGCGATATTTTGTCAACTGAGTCTACACTTTGCACCTGACACTGCATCTTAACTATTGGATGTCTTAATATGGAAAAAAAACGTAGAACAAAATTAATGGTAGGAGGATTTCTGACTAATATGAACAGTAAGTTAATAAACAATGGCAACTATGTGACAAAGGTTGTTCAAACTCATGGCAAAAAGGATTTCTCCTTACAATATCTCCTGTCATATACAATACAGTTGAACTGTTGGACTCCAATGACCACATTTTATCAAATTACACTGGTGATAAATCTTAAATATCAATTTTAAAAAATACTGAAGTTTTAGTCAATACATTTAAATAAATTTATATGAATAAAATGCATAAAAATAATATATACAAACTTTCATATTACAAATTTCTCTGTGGAATATTTAAAAAATATCTGTATTTAATAAAACTTTTAAAGACTAAATATTACTTTTTGGTATTGATAGATGTCAAAACTGGTTAAACACATTCATTTCTAAGACTATCACTGGTCAGATAGCCCTTACAATAATATCTTATATTGAATACCTAACATCATCATCAGTTAGAGTTAAATACATGTTGTCAGAATTAATCTATTCCTGAAAGATGTCTTTTACTTATTTTTTCATTTGGGCTTCTTCAAAATTACCAAATAATTTGTATTTCTTTACGTTTTATAAATAAACTAAGCAGGACTATTTTCTGACAAAATTATGCAAACTTTAAAAAAGTTCTGTTACTTTTTCTGAAACTTTTCTGGCAACCTGGTTAATTAAACTCTAATTATTGTGCAAGTGTGTATTGTGTAGGTAAAGTTAGTTTAGTATGCAACATTCATTATGTTTAAGTGTAAATGCTTGAATATTAAATAAAAACTGCAAATCATTAAATTAAAAACATATAAATGATAATGAAAAAAACAATAAATACAAAAACAAGATTGGAACATCTGTGTTAGAGGATTAAAGTTTCAAATAGTGATCTTTTTTGATGTATTCAAAATTATATGAAATGGCCTCCAACAGCCAGATAATATTCTCAAAGGAAATGTTTAATTATTTAAATCAGAATATTACATTAATATAAAAATAAAATAATTCTTCGTAAAAAATTATAGGCAAACATCATGAACTATTTTTGAACATAAATACATTTATTTCAATATAAATACTAGATCTTCTGTTTGAATTTTTGTGTAAAGCTTTAACTTATTGTTATTATGAGTACAGTTGACCACCCCTATAACACAATAGATACGTTCCACTTTACAAGAATTTCGCGTTGTAGGAATCCTTAAATACACGAGCTAATCACAGCCCAGCACGTGTGCAGGTTACGGACTACGGCTGTTTGAAAGGTTTTCTTAAATAAAATTAATCGATTCTACACTAATTTGACTCAACATTTCCAAAACACGTATAATTTTTTGGGAATAATCTGTATAAACTATGCTATAAACAAAAAATTGTAGGATTACTTATCGAGTGTGCACCATTCGACGATGCCATTGCTTAAGCTTGTTTTCGTCGCGGAGCAGTGCACCAAATGGCAGGCGCATTTTCTGATAAGTTATTTTTCTGCGAAAAATTCACTGAACTTTGGAGACATCATTAGTAGAAATAATTTTTATGGCCGTTGAATAAGAAATGTTTTTTTCACAAGAAATGTATAAAATTATAGTACTGTATTAAATTTACAGTACCTAATTTATATACTGTACAGACGATAGTAAACTCGACTTACCCGCCCAAACTCTCCGTAGCGTGTAAGTAGTTCAGTTGCTCATCCACTATTGGTCCAGATTCGACCAATCCTGTCGCAACACAAGTCGGTGATGATGTTTTATTGCATTTTACAAGTCTCTTTTAGCGTCTTTATACAAATATGGTCACAATTTTTCACTGCGATATACGAATCCGCATTATATGAACCAGTGTTATAGGGGGGTCAACTGTACAAAGATATTGTTGTGGCATATAAATATCATTACAGTATACTATGTTTACTACCAGGACATTCTGCATTTAGCAAATGACAACTTTATATAATAAATTTTCTGTGCTTCCTGGAGTGATCTGTTATATGGAAGTTTGATTGTACATGTGAAGAAAAAAAATGTTTAAATCATAAATAAAAATTTATAATAATAATGTGAAATAAAAATTATTTAATTTAAATAAACTTAAGAAAAATTCTGCTGCAAAAATTAGAATAATATGTTTCATTTAATGACACAATGCTTTAAAAAATACTAAGACAACTCACTTCTTGAGATTGTGAACTGACATTAATTGTACCAGGTCCTAGTCTTTCAAAGACACTTTGTCTTCTAGGTGCTTCAGCATTATCATTATTTTCAACTGTTACCTTTCGCTTTACTTTGGTAGACATCTATAATATAAATAAAACTATTTAAATTAATCAAATTTAATTGTATAAAAATAAACTTTAAAAGTTAAGACTTTATTGAATAATTATCTTTTTTAAATTAATTTCCAAGCTTTTATAATATAAGATTTGAAAGAAATAAAAATATAGAAACTAATTTTAAATTATCTGTAATAATAATTTATTTAAAATATTTTAAAGTGTTTATAAATAAAGAATAAAATAGAATTTTTTTTTTTATTTTCTCTTCAGACAAATCAGTTCTAACTTTGGTTAAAGTATATATGACTTGAAATTTTATAATAGTTTTCTATATTGTTTTTAATCCTTTCAAATACAAATATACAGTCGACCCCCGTATAAGATCATTGATTATTCCGTTTTATATGAATTCCATGTTGTACAAGTCACTTAGATTTTACAAATACGTGTACCGGGCTGTGAATGGCTCACGTATTTGTAAAATTTAAGTGACTTGTACAACATGGAATTCATATAAAACGGAATAATCAATGATCTTATACGGGGGTCGACTGTATTGCATCTTTAAATATTGTTTTTAATCAAATTTATCAAACAAGTAATTATTTATTGTGACATTGTCACAATGCTGGGCTGTAAATTTTAATCATATTGTTAAGTTATTTAATTTAAAATATATGCTCTCCACCTCAAATTAGTAGTAGTGTCTTGCTCCTGTACATCATACTTTGACAATAGAGTCATGCCAGTCATCTATTAACTGCTTTCAGGGAAAAATTTTGAATTGAAATAATATCCCTTTCAGTTTGCATTAGATGTTCATATATAATTAATCAGAGCCTCCAGCCCTTAAGGTTTCCACATCTGGTCTCAGATTTCATCTAACTAACTCCATTCTCGAGATGACAGTGGGAATTTATAGGTCTACAATTTCATATAGCAGAGGATATATGTACAATACTGTACTATATAACCAAATTTACTATGTAAATCATGTACTGATGTATGTAAATCTCTTGATTTACATAGTAAATTGGTTCCATGTAAATCTGAAATCTCGGTAAATCAAGACTAACATTGACATGACATGGAAATGGAGAGTTAGGTTTCAAGGTGACTATTATAAAATGAAATTTCATTCTATATCTTCTTTGCTTGTTGATAAAGAAACAATTTTCCTCTTCTGCTTTAGATGAAAATTTTACATCAATTTAATTAGTAAACTTTTTTGATTCCAGATTATTCTAATTTGTTCACTACAGGTTTTGACAATCTTATCTCAATAAAATCTGTTATAAAAGCTTAATTTTTATTTCTATTTAAGTTTTTATAAATTTTCTTATGTAGAGATGTGTTTAATGAATATGTTGTGAAGTTGAAATGAAGTATAAAATAGAGAATCTCATCTCTTTGAATGTATAAGTTGAATAATTATTGTAAAACAATTACAATGTCATAACAACACAGGCTAAAACACTAAGTTTATTAATAAAAAAAAACTTACTTTTAAAATAAAATACTGAATACTAAAACATTTTAAAACACTATGTTAAAATGAAACTACCATGTAAAATAAAATTTTCTTGCATTTTTCCAACCTTGCTAAACCAAACTTATGCAATTTGAATACCATACAAGTCATTAAATTAAACGTTAGACATATTTATGTATTTCAATACAATATGTATAAATCAACTGATATTTGTATGTTAAATGATCAATAAGAATCCTTAATAAACTAAACACAGTTTCTAACTTTTAAATTTCTTAATTAACATTGCATTTTTTTTTATTAGGAAGTTATTAATGTTACAAATCAAAAAATGGCAAATGCAGTCTGGCAATTAACACAAACTGACTAATATCACTTTGCATGCCAATAAAATTTACTAAGAATAATTGACAGATTTCCATATCTAACTTTCATCTTAATTACTATAAGTATTTATTTTTTTCCATACAATTAATATCATGCTGCTAGTATGAGACTATATTTAAACTTCATTTCAGTCAAAATAAAAAAAAATATGTTATGATTGCTTTGTTATGTTTTTTTACTAGGTTATTTTTTAAATCAGTTTTTTAGTTTTTTGATTTTATTGAAAACTTCTATTATTTTGGGGCAGTTATCTCTTGACTATTGGCATTATTTATATATATGTACAAAATCATAAAGTCAGCCTTAGCATTGGTTGAATTCAATAACAGTCAACAGCTACAAGAAAAAACTTAGCACTATGCCATCAATTCTCACATTTTGCTGTTTTGTTTTTAGTTTTCAATTAGTCTCTACTACTCAACTTAACAGATTCAATCTTTAGCTGATAGAGCACTAACATTTGCAAATAATGCCACAGTTTGCAAACAGGCACACAGAATCTTGTGAGTGATCTGTGTGAGTACCACTGATTACTGCAGCTATTCAATATTAACCAATTGCCAAAGTTCATAATTGTTGTAAGGAGTCAAATTCAACGTGTTCTATTTTGTTTGTGGATTACTTTTAGTTTGTTATTCTATTTATTTTGGGGTGTTTTATTAAGGATAGACTACCACTCCTCACTCAGGCAAATTCAAAAATAACTCACCTTATTACAATGACTGCTGGCAGCAACTTATGACATCATCAAACCCAGAAATGACATCTCGGGTGGAGACTCTGTGGAAGTTAATAGAATGAGCTCCCACCCCAAATTATCATTGGAAATGCAATAAAAAAATTATAAAACTACTTGTAAGGGAGATGACATTAATTAACAAGACCAATTACTAGAATGAATAAAGTATTAAAAAGTATGTATGTAAATAGGGTCGAGTGGGCATATGCTTGTAATGTCATCCCCAACTGCACTTTAAGGAAGAGACAAATCGAACAAGATGGTGCTAAGGATTGAGTGAGATTGACGAAAGGCTTTCCAGTTCCAGTGACGACAGAGTTTCTTGATGACGGTTAGACAAATTAGTATTCATTGTGCTTTTTTGATATTTTTTTCATATTTTGCTTATCAGTTTTGTGGAGATAGTTCTAAGATAGTTGTAGCTTAATTTGCAAGTCCCCAAATGTGGGAAAGTTTTGTACATATTTGTTTTGGTTTTTTCATAAATTATCTTTATTTGCAAGTTATTACCTAACATTATTTCTTGGTTGTACATATTCAGGTTTTTACTAATAAATAGATTCTTTTGCATTATGTACAGTAATTATTTTGAGTTTTGACATTAATAACAATTTGCATTTATTTTACTGTCGTGCAAAATCCAGGCCTGGCATTTTTGAATCCTTCGCTTATGTAATGCACTGTTAGAACATTATCTGGACTTTTGATTTGATAGATAAGATGTTACAGTGTATCAATCAGGGCCGGATCATCGCATAGACAAATGAGACAAATGTCTAGGGCCCGGTTTTTAGGAGGGCCGGTCAAACTGTCTGTTTTGAAAAGATTTGTAAATAAGATAGTTTACTTTTCTGTTGGACAACTGTATATAATAAACAAATAAACAAAAACATATTGCTTTTTATACGGTTATTGTGAATTCTAAAATCTAAAGAAAATGTACGTGGGTTGTTCAAAAAGTGCCCAAACTTTTTAAATAACGCGCCTCCAGTTGGTTATTTTTTAATTCGCTTGGAGGCGTTGTGTCTGCGGAAACCTCCCGAGTAACCTCCTTCAACCCGTTTGTTGATATCTTGTTTTGGTGATTAGTTACGGCCGTTTATGTGAAGTGGTGTTTTTGGGATTCGGCGAAAAATCGGAAATCAGCTTTTTGAAAGAACAGCGTTGTTCTGTGAAATTCTGTGTGAAACTCGGAAAATCCTTCACGGAAACTTCCCACGGGTGGGTGAAACAGCTCCCGCCCCAAAATGCTCGACAAGTTCGCTCAAATGTTAAGGTGATGTTGACTGTTTTTTTTCGATGCAAAGAGGTTGTGCATCACGAATACCTACCTACAGGCCAGACAGTCAACACAGAGTACTACTGGTGTTATGAATCGCCTAAGAAACAAAATCAGGCGAAAACGGCCCGAACTTTGGAGGAGCGGCGAGTGGTTCTTTCACCGCGACAACGCGCCGGATCATTTGTCCCTCAGAACACATGAGTTTTTGGCCAAAAACAAGACCGCTGTTCTTCCCCACCCACCCTACTCACCTGACCTGGTCCCGTGCGACTTTTTCCTGTTTTCCAACAAACTAGAAAACGCGCTCAAAGGAAAAACATTTGCCACCATTCCAGAGATAGAAAAAAAAAGACGGAGGAGCTTATGAGCTTTCTGGAAAAAGCGTTCCAGGACTGTTTCAAAAAGTGGAAGTGTATATGCTGCGGAGGAGACTACTTTGAAGGGGACACTGACAAAAAAATTGTATGTGAAGTATTTTTTTTATAATAAATAAAATTCGGGAACTTTTTGAACAACCCTCGTATTCTTATGTTTCTTCTTATTGAAAGTAAAACTCCCAATAATTTAGAATATTCTTTATAGCGATAAGAATAATATTAACTATATGTATTCTTAAATCCTGTGAAATATTGTTAAATAATTTTGCTTTTATTTTTTATAAAGCAGCTGCAGTGTCCATATGCAATTTAATAGAAATAATAGTAACAAGATTTATTAATTGAAAGAGCCAGGAAAGGACCCGGAAGAAGAAAATGTCTAGGGCCCCAAAGTGGGTTAATCCGGCCCTGGTATCAATACAAACATTTCTTTCTAGTAATTGGTAATTGCCCAATTATATCACAACTGTTTGTTAAAGCTCCACCGTTTATAAAGTTTCACATTTCTGTTTGCTATTGGTAGCTGTGGTCAATGCTCACAATGCCACATCATGACAACAGATGATCAAATCCAATTAGATTGCCTAATGTTGAGGTATAATGAATGCCTCAACATTAGGCAATATGCTGTGCAGTGAAGCAATTGCACATCAACATCACACAGGTGTAGTTTTAGCATGTATTCTGGTACAATCTTTTCAATGTACAGAACAGCAGAATTGAAAGGTTTTGTCACAAGTTAAATTTGTATTTTCTCTTTCCTTTCAGGTTAAAAACAAGAGTAAGCGCATATTATGGCACCACATGCTGAGATACATCACTCCTAGTATCATCATTGTTTCTGACAGTGCAGACCAATATCATATCACAGTTGTACAACTTTAGGCTTCATGGACAATAACATTGTAAACTGCAGCTAGCAGAATGGTGGAAATGTGTTAACTGAAGAATGAATTATCGAAACTCAATTTGTTTTCATGCAGATTTGTCAACATTTATGATTCCAAGACCCATACTCAGAACACTGAGAACAAAAATCACTGGTTGAAGAAATCTACCAAAGCTCTCTGCACAAGAGTCTGCAGGGTTACATCTGTACTTACACCTAAAGGACACAGTTCCTATTGAAAGTGCCAATGCCACTGGCACAATTCTAGCATTTTTTTTAGAAATACAGTGGAACCCCGGTTAACAAACTTAATCCGTTCCGCGACTCCGTTCGTTAACTGAATTGTTCGTTAACTGAAGCAATTTTTCCCATAGAAATTAATGCAAATGCAATTAATCTGTTCTAGTCTCCGAAATTTTTGTGATATTATTTGTAATATACAGTAATTTTCTTTGATGAAAATGTAGAAAAACGTAGTATCTATCATTACAGCAACAAACATGTAAACTTTGTTTAATAAAATAGCACTGTACATACTTTCGTTTGTTGTAGTTGGTGGCAGAAAAGTGGAGATATACGAACCTTAATGCTTAGAGTGGGAATCCCCTCCAAAAAAATAACAGGTAGCACTTCATTGGAAGATTCTTCGAGTCGAAGTCTCTTTCAGTAAAAAAAAAAAACCACCAGTGGCTAAGTGGTCTTCATACCTTGAACACGGGTTCGTGGGTTCACACCTCACTCAGACGGGCTGGCCACATGGAGTTTTCCGGGCTTTCTCCACGTCTGTAACGCCTAAATAGGGGCCAGTTTCCATTAAAAACACCTCCCAGAAGGCATTCCCCCTAGGCAGATCGCCCAAGTGTTGCATTGCCATAACTTAAAAAACAAACAAACTCTTTCCGTAAGAAACAAGAAATTGATCTAAAGTTGATTGTCTTACTCTTTTAATCAAAATCTTTCTCAAATGCGATAGCGCATTGTCGTTTATATTGCATTGTTGTTTTCTATTGCCACACTGACTTTTTTCTTTCTTGGATGCCATATTGATTAAATATATAAATCACAAAACTGAAAAAAGAAGTATAGCACAAACACTCGGAAAAGCAATGCTTAACTCGCACATGCCTAACACCAACTAAAATTTGACACAAAATACCATTACATTCGTTATCCGAGACAAAATTTTTGCAAAATAAAAGTTCATTAACCGATTTGGTCGTTAACCAGGACGTTCGTTAACCGAGGTTCCACTGTACTGCAGCCATCTATCCAGGCCCCTTGCAAGTGCCTCCAACTCCTCTTAACCATTGTGCCAACTGACAAGGTGAGCCCTACTTTAATGTCCTCATGAACAAGGGTAATGACAAAGAATCATAAGAACAAATGACTACCCAATGAATGTAATTTGTGTGTAGGCCAATGGATATATGCAGATGTAAAGCAGGAATACATAATCTATTTCATACAACATTAGGCATTTTAAACACAATCTCCAGGACCTAGTCAAGGCAAAGTCTAACCCATTTTCTACCAAATATGAAAAAGAAACAAAGTAGCCAGTCTGAGATATGAAAAATGTAGAGGAAGACATTGTTGAAAATGAGTGTATAGTATTTCTTTGCCTTTTACATTGACAGTAGAATGATCAAAGGCATGGTAGAACTAGCTTAGAAACACGAGATTGGCAAATGTTATTTAGTTGGAAATGGTCAAATTCAAGGTCAATAAGACAAGGCTTTTAATTCAAGGTCAATAAGACAAGAATTTCTTAATTCTTTACTGACAAATACCATAGCTGAATGAATGATCAAGCTAACTGTTAAGCATGCAATAGTGTGCAGTAAAATGCCAATTACACTCCAAAAACACATGTTGCAGTAGTTTTTATTGTGTCTTAAGATCATTTTAATAACTTCTACAGTTCACACAGTGAAAGAGTAAACATGAATCAGCCCCAACTGAAAGGGTCTATGACAAATGAAAGAGATGGAGGGATGGGAGAAGACCTGATTAATGTGTGAGTAATGTTAAAAGAGTAAGTAATAAAATTTGTAAAAAAAAGTAAAACAATAAAATTATTTATGATAAAGATAGCATAAAAATGTTTTTTTAAAAAAGAAAAAGAAAAAAACTAGCTGAAAGACCCATGTTTCAATTCCCAGGGCTCACCAGTGGTCAAGCAGTTCTATTCCCTAAACACTGGGAGTTCAGTTGTGGGTTTGCACCTGGCCAGAACGGGCCAGCCATGTGAAGTTTACCGAGTTTTCTCCATGTTCATAATGCCCAAACAGGGGCCAGTTATCCTTTAAAAGACCTCCGTGGAAGGCGTTCTCTCTCTAGGCAGATCGCCCAAATGTTGCATTGCCATAACTTAATAAACAAACAAACAATTTAAATCCCATAGGGTAGCCATGTCTCCTTTCATCTGACATTTCATTCCATCATTCCAACTCAGGCTGACTCATGTTTGATTAAAATAAAATGAAAAACAATTGATTTTTTGCATAATTTTTGAAATAGTTTGGATTTTTTTCTCTTTAAATTTTACCCCAATTTTAGGGTGTTCAATACTGCCAGACAGATTTTAGGGGGAGGGACTGTATCTCATAAAAGCACATGATTGAATCCACAATTCCTTTTGATTTGTTATTTGTTTGAATAAGCCTACAACTTCATCATAACACCAAAGATGCCTAGCTGAAATAAACTGTACCAAATTATTGTTAACTAATTAAATAAAAAGGCAAGTTGACTGAACAAATTAAATAATGTTTTATAAACATCAGACTGGCACATACCTTAAATCAATATAATTTAAAGTTCTAAGTATTAATATAACTATTTAATTCAACAATATTTCTTATATAATACATACATAAAAGCATAAAAGCCAAGCCATAAGAAAAACAAAAACAAATTCACAAATACATAAGTATGATAATTTTTTGTTTTGTTTTTCTTCAATAAATATGCTTACCTCAGAATTTAAATCGATAGAACACGAATTAATATCAGCAAAATAAATCCCGTTTATAACTTTACAGTTGAAATAACTTCTAATTTAAAATCAAAATATAATTTAACATTGCCATTTGTTTACTAGACTCCATGTTTTTCCGGGAAAATATAACACATTCTTTCGAATTTAAATTTCCGATTCCATATAGCCAAAAACTAGCCAAATGGCGATTCTAAAATCGGTGTATAATTCAAAATGTATATAAAATTAATACTTACAAATAAATATTAATGCAATAAATAAACTTAATATATTTTATTTTCTACTTTTAGACTTAATTACAAATTATTTTTTAATGTATTTAGAATATTTCGCGTATAAAAATTTATAATTCATTTTAAATTTATTTAAATTAAATTAATTGCAATTAATTATTCGAATTAATTTAATTTCTTCGATATTAATTAATAATTCAAAAGTGTAGAAAAAAATGGCTTTACTAGAGTCGGTAGATTAAATGGTCTTTCGACTACCTATCTCCGCTCGTTGCTAAAATCAACTAGAGACAAATGTTACTACCAGGGGCATTGCAATCGCTTCAAGAGCACTAGATCGAATCGCTGTGAGGTCGAATGTTTTCTTTTTATTGAAAGATATATAACCTTCGAGTTCGACTTCATAATTTTTTATATGCATTTTATTATAAGAATGAAAAAGCTTTTTATTTAAACCCAAAACCAGGTTTATGGATAAATAAATGACACTTAATAAAACATTAAACACCTTCCATCGCTGAGAAATGTTTATTTAATAAAACACTAATCGTTCGCGTGAAAAAATGCAATCGACGGGTAACAAAAAAGTGCAAAAATCTGGAGGTCAAGTAGGACATTGGCGCATCCTATCATCGATGTAACAGAACACCGATTTAATATAATATTCATTATTGAAAAATAAACATCCGTGTTTGAGTTTGTTAATTTTTCGCATACTTTGCTTTCTGCCCAGTACATCAATTGGCAAAGCTTATAGCTTGGATATAACAAACCTCCTCGAGATTTGATGAATGTAAATGTCTTCTCTGGTGCAGCATCCTCAGGTTTTGCTGTTAATATATTTTTGCATTCATCACAACCGAGTGATGGCAGTAGACGATAAATAATATAACCTCCTAAATAATGTAGGATAAACTTAAATGTTTCTGGTGTACAATAATCATGATCTAATAATTCACTATCACTAGGATCTCCATAGTATAGACTTGGATCACAAAGCAAATTTTCTAAATGTTCTTCCAATTGTTCTTGAACTTCTCTGAATGGTTTTTTATGACTATGAAGAAGATTTTTTAAAGTAATAAGCATAGATCCAGGATCAGTTTGAACTGATGCTCGTTTGGGAGGACGAACCAAACTGTACACAGTCATCAGTCTGTACAGGTATAAGAACTGCACTGTTGTGGGATGAGAATTGCTTCCACTTCCTTGTCTTATCATTCCAAAGAAACGCTAATTGAAAAGAAAACATAAGTTAAGAGTTTAATACAAGATTATATAATCATTACACTAAGTCAGTTTTGATTGATAAAAAAAATATCAGACGATTAATCTTAAAGTATTTACAAGGAAAGGTGGGCCACAGAGAGATAGCCCTCAGTGAATCACAGTGGGTCTCACAAACCCAGCTCAATCTTTAGTTAACATTTTTTTAAATATAAAAATACTGAAAAAATTTATATTCTTCCAACTTTTCAGTCCGATCAACATGCGGTTAGAACGTTTTTTTTTTTATTTGACTTTACTTGGACTAGATGTCATATCAAAAGCGCCCAGTCGAAAAATTTACCGGGGAAACTCATTACTTCTATATATTGCGTAATAGCGGGAAATAATTAAACCAAAAGTATTTTAGTTTTGCGGACAATTTTACCTCGAAATGTTTCTATCAAAACACTTATTCGTTTAAATAACCTCAATAAATATGTAAATTAGAGCTAAATTGTAGCTGAAAAACGACGAAAATAGCGATTATCTAACATTTGTTTACAATTTTACCTTGATTTACGTAGAAGGAGCGATTTTCTTATTGTAGAATTTTCCACCAGACAATTCTGAGAAAATGCTTACTCGTTCAAACAGAATCAAACAACTAGAAGTTAGCTAATTAGACCCTAAACGTTATAGAATAATATAAATAAAAGAATGATTGTCGCGTAGCTATCAAATTATATAAAATTAAACATTAAAAACGCAATTTTGTCATCAATACAGCAAGAAAGAAAGAAAGAAAACAAAGCGCAGAATTTAACGGTGAAATTGTAGGTTTTTTTACGCGATAGATAAAATTTAATAAATTTATATTAAAACACAGGGTCCGAGAGACCCACTTGCGACTCAGCAAGGGTAAAAAGTTACATGAGTCACTGAGTCACTGAGGATTAAGATTACATAAAAAAAAACACATAAATATTTATCTCTGGTATTGTCTTTTCGGGATCTCTTCCTAGATGGTTCTTCATTTCTTGCGAGACATCGCGTTGATCGTTTTTGAGGTACAGACTTAATAATGTACAGTACTTAGGACAATTAGGGAAGTTTGATGGATACGCATCCGACGTTAATGCCCAGTGGAATTTCTACTTTCTCTCCATTTATAACATGGGAGTTGGTTTTTAAAATAAATCTACTCGCAAAATGTACGTCACAAACGACTCTGGCTTTACGTAGTTTAATTTAGGAAACTTTTATGTTTTATATTCATTATTTAGGAATTAATATTTCTCTGAGAAAAATTATTTGATGCATTTGCATTAATTAACCTATTTTTGATACCGCCGATGCGATGTAAACAATAAATTAACATGTGTTTTATGTGATTGGAGCGCACGTTTTAATATTTAATATCGTTTAGTATAAATTTAGACTTCAATAAGCAATTAATTATCTTTTGTTATGAATATTTTGTGTTTAATTCAAAGAACTTTTTCATGATTACATTTTTACAGAATACAAAACATTTAAATCATTACCAACGTGAATAACGGTTAAGGAACAGAATATTATAAATAATTTCACAGATAATTTTGTATTATTATATTTTTAAATATTTTTAACATTTTAAAATATAATAATACAATAAAATTTAATAAAATGATTAATAATTTTAAAATTTTATTAATGATATTTTTNGTATATACGTACCGTACGTAACAGAATGCATTAAAATTAATAATATTTGATCAGTGTAACTTAATATCCTAAGAGAAATGTCAACATTAATCAATTCGGTGTTGGTAAACAGTTGGCGCAATTAACATAAGTTATAGGTAGAGAACACAAATCGAATAATCCGTATACCCCGGAGGCATAAGGACGAATTCGTCGAGTTACTTTTCCATTCGTAAATCGTCCGACACAGGAGTACAGCAATTCGCTCCCGATAAAAAGATTAGAAAACGAAGAGAAAGATATAATTCCTCTCCTTTAAATATATTCTGATCCGTAAAAATAGACTTTTTACCACATAATTGGGCACGAAATCCATAACCGATATAAAAATCTTTGGTGAAATATGAAAGCGGGTGTATAGGAAAGCGTAGTAACAGGATTTGGAAGGAGAACCTAGCTCGGTAGGGGGTTGCCTCCGTAGGCGATGGGCGCCTACGTCTAGGAAATTTTACAAAGAAGAAGTATCCGTGCGAAAATTGGAAAAGCGAACGAGAGGTAGACCCGGAATAAATTCGCCTTTTTTCTCTCTCTCTCTCTCCATACAATTTTATGCATTTTCCAGTAACGATCATAAATTAAATATCTGCTTAGACCGAGACACGGGCCAATCCCGAAACTCTCGATCAATTTTTCTCTCTTCCGATAAAAATCAAAATTCTTTGATTGAAGGCGGGCAAAAAGTCCATCGCCTCCTTCCAAATCCGATTATGGGCCAAAGGGCGGCGCCTCTTCCAAAATACAATAACGTTTTCAAAAGCGAATATTTTACAAAATTTAAAAATTCTTTTTGGGAATAGAAGTTGTATTTTTCTCTTTACAGAAGAAAAAAAAAGAAGTTAACCTAATCATTTCGGGGGATATATTTTAAAGGTGTTTCGGTCTAAAATACAAATTAAAACGTTAGAAAAGATGAAACAATTAAACTTTACCCGGCGTAGAAGGAAATGTGCCACGTTATAAGCGAGGTCGCGACCGAAGTTTACTTAAGCGGCGCTCGACGTTCGACGTTCACGTTTTACAGATGAAAACTTCGGCCGCAACCTCGCTAATAAAAATTTAATAATCCGCAGCATCAATTTCCATATAAGTCAATTATATTTGGGCCCGGCCTATGAATTCATAGCTTAGGGCCCGACACAGGCCTTCATATTTTACCGTGTATCGTTATTTAGTATGGAAGAAGGAGTTACATTTTAGGACTATAGAAAGTCCGACAATACTCTTTGGAGAATTACATTAAGAAAGAACTACTTATTAAATATTAAATTAGTCGATAAAAAGCGAAAGAACAACTTAAAATAAATAGATTAAAAGTAATAATCGCTAGAAATGATTTTATCGATTCTTTCAAGACATTTAATTTCGAAACTCGGAAGAATGAACTGTCTTGGTTGAAATTAATTCTTCAGTTTAAATATATTTTTCTTATCTAAACACATATAATTCCATCACGAATATTTCAATTTCTTCTATCTTCTTGGAAGAACAATTTTAAGATAAAATGTTTACTTAGTAAAACTATTATATTAGATATTAAAAAGAAAACGTGTGCACGAATTTTCTTGTGTATCCATTAGTGTAATCCATTTTCAATCATTTCTTCCCCTCCCCCCAAAATTCCGCATCCCTACAACTCTCATAAGCTGTTTACGAAACAGAAAATGGCCCATTTATTTTATATATATATATATATATATATTATTTTACTTATCTTTAAATCGCTGGAAGTATTGTTTTATAAACACCGGATTTTATTTTTATAAACATTTTATTATGTTTTAGTTTATATATATATTGTTTTGTTTTTCTTATTTAATGACAAATAATAAGAGAAAAACTTGACATTTTTGGACTCGGGGGGAGGAATTGAAACGTGAAACAATGCAAAAATGTTTGGGGAGGTTTCTGTATGTTAATGTGTGGGTGACAGTGGTGCGTTATACCTTCGTGACGTATTTAAATTAGGGGTCCAATTTAGTGTTAACTTCAAGCATTTGTTCTTTTTTCCCATAGGATAACCTACCACTGGTGGGGACACGATTTTTTTCTACCCCAATTGAAGCTTAATAACTCCTGTGCTTTTTGTCGAAAATTTCTGAAATTTTGTACGGAGGTTTGTGTATTATGGGGGAATGTTTCTAGAAATTTTCAGAAAAATCGAATTATTGGTTCGGAAGATATGGCCCCTCCTCCTTAATATCTCCAGTACTAATATAAAGACTTATAAAGGTAACTCGAGTCCAGAAAGTCTAGCGACAACATTGCCATATTTTTTCCTACATTTTTAACCTATAAAAACTCATATATTTGTAAATTAATATAATAAAAAAAGAAAATAAGTTTATACAACAAATAGGCCTAATATTAGGAAGAGAAATTGAGAGTAAAGGAAATTCTTTTCTACTCGAATAAACTAAAATGTTTCATTTTATGAGGAAAATATATATATATATAAAAGTATTTTAGAATTCAGTAATAAAGTTTTATTGTAGAAAAGAAAATATTAAGTTAAAATTAAACGTGTAGTGTGTACTTTTCTAGAATTGTATAAGCATAATTGATTGCTTTAACCTAAGTTTAATTGCTTAATTTAATATTAATAATCGTAGTAAATCTCATTTATCGAGGAATTTAACAGAATAATATGACCAGAATCTTTCCGTTTGAATATAAAATGGCGGCTAGAGCCATTGAAACAATTATCATACACATGGCCGACTTTAAAGTCAATTTCTTCAATTTAAAATTGATTTTACGAAGGAGGAACGAAGCATTTACAAGGCACCATGCAATTAAATTTTTACTGGTTCGGCTGGAAAATTCAACAGCGAATCTAAAGTGAAATTTAGCTAGAAAATGGCTTTCGTGCCCGTTACCATTTATGCTGAAAGGTGATATTACCACCGTTGTATGTACGCTCGATTGATGCAGATCCACGAGAGACGTGAAATTATAGAAAAGGAACTAGGATAAGAGCTATTTCTATTCATATTTTTCTTCTGAAATGTATTCCAGAAAGTTCTGACACGTAGATGGCTACATTTAATAGGACCATAGAAGCAGATGGAGGCATAAGTGAATTTTACCTACTTGAATCGAAGATTTAAAACATGTCTTTGTCAGTTATACTTCTATAAAGGAAATTGCACGTAGTACTAGATGAAAACTACTATTTTTACGACTTTTTCCGCCTTGGTAATTCGTCAGAATAGAATTGAAACGAACAAATTCCATCTCCATTGAAAATGGAGTCGCTAAATATCTACCCC